AATCCTTCTCCCAGCGCTGCTCCATCTGCTTATCCCCAGCCTGGACTGATCCCAGAGTTGCCCAGACCTAGGTGCAGCTCCAGCACTCGGCCGGGTTAAAACTCATCATTCCCATGAGGTTGTCGAGCTTGCTCGAGCTTGTCCAAGTCCCTTTGGATGGCATCACTTCCCTCAGATTTGTCACTTTACCCTCAGTTTGGTGTCACCTGCCAGCCTGCTGAGGTTGCACTTGATCCCTTCATCTATATAATTAATAAAGATACTAAATTAAATAAAGAAGATGGGTTTAAATGTGACGTTAATGTAGGTTGTTATCTTTGGAACCCTCTGCCTCGTCTTGAAGAAGCCTGATTTGGAAAACATTAATTATTGGCAGGGCAAACCCTCCTTCCAAGCACTGCTTTGCTCCTACCAGAGCACATGCCCTGGGGCAGCCTGGGAAAGGAAAGGTTACAGGTCCTGTCCCAGAGAACTCCCTGTAAGCAAAAGGAATCATTTTTCCAACTGTTTCCAGCACTGCCAAGTGGAGGGAAATCCACACAGAACAGCCCAGACAGCATGAGGCTGAACAGCTCCTGAATCTGTCAGGGCTCACACCAGAGTGGGTTTCCAACACCGGGGGCACAGAGATTTTAACTGAGTTTAAAGCAGAGCTGCGGCTGGAGGAGCTGCAGCCCCTGCCAGGCTGCCCTGCCCCAGGCGTTTGTGCAGCTTTGCTGTGCAACCCCTGCAAAGCCTCAGCTGGAAGGGACCCAGCCCTCCCCTGGCATCGCAGCCAGGCTGGCCTGGGGTGAGGGTGGGGATCCCAGCAGCCCTCTGCAGCCCCCTCAGCTGTGGCCACTCATCACACAAAGGTTTTCTACTCCTGTACCTTATCAGAATTTGTGCCACACAAATCCTTGGAGAGATTGGACAGGTTACAGAGCAGGAGGAGACACACCTGACCTGTTCTGAGAGCATCCAAATTATTCCCAGCTTGAAATATGGTACCAAGGTCAATTCCAACAAAGGAACCAGATAGAACTGCAGAGTATCCTGAGCAGGAAGGGACCCACCAGGATCACCCAGCCCAGCCCCTGTCCCTGCCCAGACCCCCACCAAGCCCACCCTGGGCATCCCTGGCAGCGCTGTCCAAAGGCTCCTGGAGCTCTGGCAGCCTCGGGGCCGTGCCCATTCCCTGGGGAGCCTGGGCAGTGCCAGCACCCTCTGGGGGAAGAACCTTGCCCTGAGCTCCAGCCTGAGCAGCCCTGGCCCAGCTCCTGTTCCCTCAGCATGGGAAGCGCCTGGAATTTCAGCTGTATTTGTTTATCTTGCTGCTGCAGAGAAAGGCCCTACAATCAGCTGGCCTGATGAAAAGTGCAGAGCCACAAACTCTCCTGGTTTTGACTCCATCAGCTGCACGTGGAGCTGGGGACAGTGTGAGAGGGGCCAGCACAGGCCTGGAGCCCGGGCAGAGCTGCCCAAGGCACAGCCACACCACACAGGGACAGAGAGATCCCCGAGCTCGTGGGATTCCCACGGCTGGAAACACCCAGGTCAGGCATCGCTCAGTTTTGCTCTAGGAGTGAGGAAGGTGCAGCTCCCCTCCACACTGACAGGGACACAGTGGCATGCCCTGGACAATTAATGTCTGCCAGGGCTCATAGATTTGATAAAAACGGGTTTTTTTGATCATGCCTTTTCCTGTCACTACAGCCCCACTTCAGGCTCTGTGGCCCTCAAGTCACCAGGGCAGTGACGCAAATGTCATCAGAGAGCAAAGGACACAAATGGATCTCATTTTGAATAAGCAAGGCTAAACCTTCTGCTCTCATTCCTCACCCCACTTTTTAACAGCCACACTTCCATCCCTGCTTCAACCCATCCAGAATGGACATGGACACATCACACCAAAGGTGCTGTATTTCCAGAAGACAGGGAGTTTTTCCCCAAAGGAAAATTCACAGCATGGGACAGAGACAAATCAAACCAGCAAATGTTTGCAGACAACTGGGTCTTTATTTTAGTATTTAAAGTGCTACAAAAAACTGAAGGAGCCTTCATGTGGCAACTTCCTTTTCTGCAGTCTTAGCTCTGTTGGAAGAAGCAAACACAGCTCATTAGTGGAGTCTTTCAGTAACTAGATGTTGTACAGCAATTTCAGTCAGAGCTGGGTACTCACAGCTGGGCACTCGATGGCACCACTGTTGATGTCATCGATGATGTCGTGAGGGTGTCTCCCATCAATGCTGCAGCCCACGGACTGGGCAGTGCCAAGGATCTCCTTGATGGTCCCTGCAGCAGCAGACAGCCTGTCAGTGTTTTACCATGGGAACCATCTGAGGAGCCTACCTGGAGCAGCCTGGGCTAGGGGAAGGTGGCCCTGTCCATGGCAAGGGCTGGAACTCAACGAGTTTTAAGGTCCCTTCCAACCCAAACCAGTCTGGACTCTGACAGAGAACACCCCACAGCTCTCAGCTGTCCCTCTTCCCTCAGGGGCTTGCAGGCTGAGCCTCAGGGCTCACCAGGGAACATCAATTCCCTCACCCAGATCTCACACCCTGGACTCCCACAGGAACACACTGCCAACTCCCTGTGCTCCTCTCCTCCCCAGGTGCTGGGGCTGCCAGTCCCCAGGCAGCACAGCTCAGCTGGCAGCCCTCCCTCGCAGGAAATGGAGCATTCCCTGCGCCCCAGCCCCAGGACTCACCCGAGAGCTCCCGGGCCAGGGAGCGGTGCCGCATCTGCCGCGCGATGTTGACGATCTCGTCGAAGGTGACGCTGCCACTGTGCTTAACTGGGAGGGAACAGCAGCAGTGAGGCACCCGGGCACTGCCAGCTCCCCATTTCCTCTGGGAGCACCGTCCCCACCACTGAGACCACGGGAGAGCCGGGGGTTTGCAGCTCCAGCACGGCTGCTGTCAGTGCTGCTGCTCCCAGACTGCAGCGGATTATCCCCAACTCCTCTTTCCAAGCTGGCATTTCTGCCAGCTCCCCTGGCTGTGCCAGGCCCTGTGCCAACAGTGTGATACAGGGCAGGCCCAGGGCCAGGGGCCCGTTCTACCCCAGAGTTGCAGCTGTGGCTGCCCCTGGATCCCTGGCAGTGCCCAAGGCCAGGCTGGACAGGGCTGGGAGCAGCCTGGGACAGTGGAGATGTCCCTGCCATGGCAGGGGTGGCACGGGATGGGCTTTAAGGTCCCCCCAACCCAGGCCCATGACCCCATGATCTCCTCAAACACAGAGCTCTGCTGATGTGCATCTGTTGGTACCCTGGCACTGCAAGGATGCCCAAAACAGCCTCGTGTCCCATTTACCAGTGTGTGCTGAATAATCCCAGAGAAAGGTACTGGTATTTCCCCTCTTTTAGCCCCAAAATATTCAGAACCAGGGAACACTTACTGTTTTTCTGCTTCTTCCTGTCACGAGGTGGCTCCTTCAGAGCTTTGATAATCAGAGCAGAGGCAGAAGGAACAACCTCTATCTAAATACAAAGAAATTAATTTCCCCCCCCATTCTACATTACTAATGAAGATACTAAATTAACTTGTCAATTATTTCAGCAAAGATAATTGCCAGAGCAGTGTGGGGTTGATCGGAACCCTCATGCTCCAGGTTTTTTTTGTGCTGCAGGAATCTGTTCCCAGGTTTTCGGCACAGGCCTCCCCACAAGCAGGAGAGGACTGCTTCCTGCCTGGGGTTTCCTCTCAGCTCACCACTGGAATGTACCAGCCACAGACATCAGAACAGGTACGGTGGCAGGTGGCTACAGGAGTTGGCAAGATTTTAAATTATTTATTTCTGTGATGCTTTAAGTAAGGTGTTTTTGCTAGTTCCATATTCTTTAAAAAGACCAAATTATCTGCAAGAGGATGAAAAATAAATTTTGGTAGATGAGGATCTCTTATCGGGATCCTCCAGCCTGACAAAGCCCCAGGCTCCACACACATCCTCCCACCCACGTTTTAAGGTCTTCCCAGAAGACCCCCACACGCCCCCTGTGTGGCACTCATTTTATCCACCTCGGAAGGATGAAGGGCTGAGTGGACCCTGCCGGGATCCGGGCCGGTGCCGGGAGCAGGCGGAGCCCGGGTGGGCTCCACGCCTGCAGCAGCGGCCGGCCCCTGCGGCGTGCGGTACCTGCGCTTGCCTGTTCTGGATCGTCAGCTTCACCGTGATCCGCAGCCCCTTCCAGTCGCCCGTGGCCTTGGCGATGTCATCGCCCACCTTCTTGGGGGACTGAGGGACGACACGCGGCGGTCACACAGGCTCGGGTTGGAGCCGAGAGCCCCAGCGCTGCCCCGCGCCTTCCCTGCAGGGCGGAGCAGCACCGCCAGCTGCCCCCAACGCTTTATCCCGCCCGCCCAGGCCACGCTTCCATCCCCGCGGACTCACTCGTTCCCCCAGCAGGACACGCTTCCCACTGCGCCCGGCACACGTTTCATCCTCCCCTCCCAGCCCCGCTCCCCCAGCCGCCCCGTCCCCGGTACGTACCAGCCCCAGGGGTCCGATCTTGGGGGCCAGCGCGGACGTGGCTCCGACCTCGCCGCCGGTGCAGCGCAGGTAAACTGCGGGGACAGCGCCGCGTCAGCCGCGCCCGCCGGGCCCCGCGGCCCCCGCCCGCCTCCCGCCCCGCTGCCCGCCACGTACCGACTTTGATCTCGTTGGGATCGAACTTGGGCGGCATCGCGGCGGCGGATGGCGGGGGATAAAGGCAGATGGAGGCGGATGGAACCCGGAGTGCGAACCGAGGCCTTCCGAGGGCTGCGAAAAGACAGCGTGGGTGGGGCGGGCCTAAGATATACCCTCCGAGATCTCGCGAGATGACAGGAAATTATAAATAGTGGCCGAGATCTCGCGAGAGGCGAAGAGCGGGCTGTGGCGGGATGTCTGTAGATGTGTATTTGTATTTCTGTATATCTATATATGTAAATATATATAGATATATATAGAGAGATAGACAGATAGATAGATAGATAGCCAGCCCTGTTGCAAAACGTGGGCTGTGTGGAAGGGTGGTGAGGCACTGGCAGGGGTTGCCCAGGGCACCGGTGGAGTCCCCATTCCCGGAGGTGTCCAAGGAAGGCCTGGCCGTGGCGCTCAGCGCTCTGCGCTGGGGACGAGGCGGGGATCAGTCCCGGGCTGGACTCGGTGATGCCGGGGGTCGTTCTCGGCCCGGACAATTCCGGAGTCCCGCGGCCGGGCTGGGTGGTCCTCCGGCCGCCAGGGGGCGCGGCGGGCAGAGCGGCAGGCGGGGCGGGGCGCTCCGGCCGCGCCGCTCGCTGGTGCCGCTGGTCACGTTACCCGGGGTGAGGCAGCGATGGCGGCACCGAGCGGTGAGCGGGGCTGGGCTGGGGGGACTCGCTGTGGGACACTGGCGCTGCGCCGGGCCGGCACCGGGCACCGCGCCTCGGGGGTGCTCCTCGGAAGGGCTCCGGAGCAGGCGGTGCCCGGAGCTGCGCGGTGTCCGCCGCAGAGCAGGCGCTGCCCTCGCTCACTATCGCTGCTCTCCCCAGGTGTCGGGCCGGTGCCCGAGGGCTGCGAGCCAAAATCCCGGCAGGGTCGACTCAGTCCTGCATCCTTCCGAGAGTCTGGGCCCTCGGGCACAGAACGGCGCTGTTCTGGATGAGGGAAGGGTAAAGAAGACGAGGAGCTTGGAAGCTGTGTGACCCTGGGAGGGGGACCCGCAGAGAGAAGAAGAGAAGAATAGTGATGGTGAAGGAAAGGAAGGACTGAGAGGCAGAGCTGGACTGGTGAAGATGCGGGGAGATTTGTTCCAGGGCAGGCTCAGGCTGTGTCAGGGGTGGCAGCTCCAGCACAGAGGGCAAACCATGCAGGACAGCGAGTTCCAGAGCTGCAGTTCAGCTGCTGCCTCCTCTGGGCCTGTCGGTGCCTGCAGGGCTGGTGCTGACAGCCTGTCAGACAGCCAGAGCAGCCTGTGCCAGGCTGGTGACACCTCTGTCCCCCAGGGCCAGGCAGCACCTGCAGGAGCCCACCCAGATCCCGGCCCTGGCTCACTGCTGCCTCACTGTGCTCCTGAGTGTGTTTTCCCAGACTAAATAAAACATCTCTTCTTTCCACACCCTTACCTTGTCTCGTTACAGTGCCCACATGGATTTATGGTGTCCAGAAGTTTTTGAAAACTGGAGCATTTTCCAGAGCTGTGTTGCTGTGTTTGAATTACAGCTGTTGTAAAATGAAGTGCTTGGTTTTATTTTGCTGTCATCACCCCAACAGCTGCAGATTGGGAAACACCCAGAAAACATTCTGTGCCCTTCCCAAGAGTGTGGCTGCTCCTCCTGGAGCTGATTCCTGCAGGGAGCAGGGGGATCAGGATTTGGTGTCCCTGGGTGCTCACTGCCTGCAGGGTGGGTGCTGGCCTGGGCACTTACAAGCAGTTCTTTCAGTAATTTAATAAATACAAATTACATCTTGTAATGGTCACATGCCAAGGGCCTTTTCCACTCCTGGCTGCTGAGTTTGATGTGTCTTCACTCAAGCAAATTTCCACTTTTGAAAGCTGTTCAATCCATTTACCAAATCTCTGATCCTTCATCTTGTGACCCCTGATATGATTCTTTTCCTGTTCACTGTCTGCCCTTCTTGTCTTTATCCATTTTCTTGGGTGAAAACTGATGATTTCCCACTGTCTCCATGACCAATGAATCCCTGGAATAGGGAAGGGTGAGGTGGGACAAGGGCATGCAGAAATGCTCAGCAGAGTTTTACATGGTCACCAATTCAAGGATATCTCGTTGCAGGCACCTTTGCTTCCACCTCCTATCTTGAAATCTCCTTTTGTTTGTGCCTCTGATGTCTTGCCCTTGATTCTGCCCTGCATTTCCCTGACAGCCAGCTTCCCTTCTTGCTCAGTCCTGGAGTTCCCCTGGGAGCTGGCTCTGAGCAGCACTTCAGTCATCTGAACAGGTTAAAGAGGCAGAAATTGGGATGGCAGGGAAGGAGCCATGGAACTGCTGGAGATGAGTTTGGAGCCAGCTCCTGCTGTGGCCCATGGCCTGTCCCAGTGAGTGCTGTGACAGCAGGACAGTGACCCAGGATGTCTCTGCCTCCTTGTTCCTGCAGTGAAAGGAAGAGGGATGAATTTTACTGAATTATTTTACCTTTACAGTGAGGATGTATCTCTGTAAAGATTTTACAGAGATTTTGGCAGAGCTCTCCCTGCTCAGGGAGCTCTCCTGGCTGGATCCTGTGAGTGCCTGCTCCTCAGGAGCCTTTGGGGCCAGTTTGCAGACACAGAGCTGGCAGAGAACCAGCATTTTATGTCAACACCTGAGCTCCACTGAGCCCTGAGTTAAGTGTAGCTGTGCCAGTTACTGCTCCACTGGTGAAGCAGTGCCTCTTTTGTGCTGATTTTTAATTGCTTAGGAATTTTAAGCAGTGTTTAAAAAACTCACTGCAAGTGTTTAGAATGTTTCTCCCTGTCTGGGGCTCGCTGTTGCCCTCCTGCTCTTCTCTAGCTCCCAGCCTTACCTCCCAGCCAGGTCCCTCTGGGTGCCCCTGTGAGCTGCAGCCCCAGCTCAGGCTCTTTCTGCTTTGCTCCTTTGTGCCCCCTGGTCCTATGCAGCCACAATAAATCCCTTTTTCTCCTTGATGCCGTTGCTCCGCTGGCCCCATCTCTTTTCCTGCACCCCACTGGAACCACCTCATTAGCAGCTGCTCTCTCCATTCCTTGTCCAGCCACAGCTTTCTGCCTTTCCCTCAAAATCTGCCAACAGCTCTTTTTCCTCCCCTGCTGGGTCAGAGCCCTGTCCCAGAGCTGCCTGGTGTCTGTTCCCTTCAGCCACCTGCACTCCTCATTCCACCTTTTGGTTTTTTCCTTCAGCCAACCTTTCCTCTCTCAGGTTCAACTTCTCCTCCCTCACACCTGAACCAGCTGGAATCCTTGCTCTCAGTTCTTTGTTATTGTGCCAGAATTGACTTTGAGTTTCAACAGTTTGGGTTTTATCCCTGGTACTTGATTTCTTGATACAGCTTTTTAATTTTTAATTCCTGGAGTGGACCCTGCATTTCTCTGATCCCTCAGCAGCCTTTCTTTGTGCCTATCCCAGACAACCAACCCTTCTCAGACCACAGCAGGGCTTGAGTGCCTCATGTTTGTACTTCCCTGTGCTGGAACTGCCTGTAGGATACAGCTAAACGAATACTTTTTTTTTATTTTTTTTTCATTACTAACACAATTATTTTCTTTTTAATTTTTCCCTCAACTTAGCTTCCAGTTCTGCAGCCAAGGCTCCCCAGCAAACACAGACCCCAGGATCCCTCAGCCTCTCTCTGCAGTGACCATCTGTGCCCTGGACAGAGGCAGGGTCAGGACTGAAGATGCCTCTCTTCTCCAGGAAGAAGAAACCCAGCGACGATGCTCGGAAGCGCCTCGAGTACCAAATGTGCCTGGTAAGCACTGCCAGGGTAATTTCTGTCCTCTGTGCCTGGGGAGGATCAGGTTGGATATTGGGACTTTTTTTCCTTGAAAATCATTGTCAGACATTTCAACAGAATACCCAGGACAGTGGTGGTGTCACCATCCCTGGCAGTGACCCAGAGGTGTGTAGAAGTGGCTTTGGGGACATGGGTGAGTGGTGTCTGTCCAGGTCCATTGCTGTTAGCAGCAGCATTGCATGGACTTGATTTGAACATGGAAAATACTTTGGAACAGAACCACAGAATCCCAGGCTGGTTTGGATGGAAGGGACCTTAAAGCCCATCCAGTGTCACCCGTGCCATGGCAGGGACACCTTTCCCTGTCCCAGGCTGCTCCAAGCCCTGTCCAGCCTGACCTTGGACACTGCCAGGGATGGGCAGTCCACAAAGTCTCTGGGGCTCTCTGGAATATAGCAAGAGGTGCTGTATTTCTGCATGGTCTGATTCTCTGGATGTATTTGTTCCCTCTGCAGGCAAAAGAAGCTGGTGCTGATGACACCCTTGACATATCCAGATGTGAGCTCTCAGAGGTATGTCCTCTCCAACTTCCAGTCTTCACTCACAGCTCTGATTCTCTGTCTGCTTCTTGGTACCAACTGTCAGATTTATTCTCATGCCTGTGAGCCTTGAGACAGAAATTTATGCTGGTCCACCTTTTCCTCTATCTCTTGAGCTCTGGCTTTCAGCTGGGGGCTTCTTCCCTGTTTTTTTTGGTGGGAGTTTGCCTGTTCTGTCTCATTCTTCAACACCGTTTCTGTCCTGGAATCCTTTAGAAGGGCAGAGTGGTTTCATACCCTCCACCAGTACCTTGTTTGACCCTAGTTTGGGACCTCATGGCTTAATTTTGCTGGTCCTGAGGGAACTGGTTTGCCAAAGGCTGAGTATTTCTAATCTTAGAGCTACACAGTCTGCCACCCATGCTTGTTTTTGTGTGTAGGTGAAAATCCCAGTCCTGTTTCCAAGTTGCTGGGTAAGGATGGAAGTCTCACTCCCAGCTTGGCTTCTTTTATAGCAACCAGCTAAATGAGAAACAATCTGTCTGCTGGTGTGTGGGCAGGCAGTGACAGAGTGCCAGGCACCCAGACACAGCTTTTCCTGCTGGCAGCCAGGCCAGCCTCAGGCAGAAACCCATTTCTATCTCACTTTTAATTTTTATTCCTTGTCTCATGCTTCCAAAATGTTGGTCCTGAATACAGGATGCCCTTGCCAAGCAAAGTGTGGAGATTTGACACCATCCTGGAGAAGAGAGGTGCCTGCTGTGCAGTGTGAAATGGCTCTGCTGAGACTTTGGGATGTTTTGTTCCAAGCTCAGGAGCCAACAGCAGCTCTGTGTGGGTTTGCAGGCTGTGTGGGACAGCCTGGGTGTGGCAGGGTGGCAGACAGAGAATCCACCCAGCCAGTTCCACTCAGGGCCACAGCTGATCTGGGATGCCTACCAGCTCCTTTTGGACCATAAAACTGTCTTGCTGTTTCATTTTCATTGCTGTTTCAATAAATGGAGTGAGACATCATTTTGGCTTTACAATTAACCATGGACAGGAGTCTGGCTGCTGCTGGTTCTGTGCTGCAGGGAAGGTCACAGTGCCCAGCTGTGTCTGGCAGGGACTGAACTGGCATCTTCTTGGTGTGCCTGTCCCTCCCCTGGCACATCAGGGACACTCTGTCCTGCCTGGTGCTCACTCTCTCTCAGCACACTGCAGTGTGGTCGTGAGGTTGCCAAACCACAGAATGCATTTCTGTGATGAGAAAGCTGAACCTTTGCCTGAGCTCATCTGCACAATGAGTATTAAATCACACAAGGCTTGAACTCCTGCCTAAGCCTCAGCCTGTTCTGTGGCACTGTTGTGTCATGGGGAGCCACTGGAAGCTGTTTAAATGGAAGCTTCCTGGGATGTACTGGGCCCAAATCAGAGGGCAGTGATTTTAAGTATCACTTTTATTTTCACTCAAGCTGTTCACACTTTACAGGTGGACAGTGTAGAACTGCTTAAAAGATAAGTCTGACATGACTATTTTTTATTGTTTTCAGGTTCCTTATGGGGCCTTTGCAACTTGCAAGGTCTTGCAAAAAAAGGTAATGTTGGAATCAGAAATTATTAAATAATTCTATTAATATGCTTAACTATAGTTGTCATTTTTCATATGACTGTGTGTGGTTGTTTTATGGTAGTCCAGAAGGAATTTTCTTGTCAGGAATTTGCCCACCTGTGTGATACCACATAGAGACCAGTTTGAGTCAGAATAATCCTGTCTGTGTTTTTTAAAGTTAACTTCTGCCTGGAAGGAACAGGTGGTTGTTCCTGTCTTAGCCCATCTAAGGGTATTTCTCAGGTGAGGAACTGGGCTCTGGTTTAGATCTCATGTAAAATGTTTGATCTTCTCTGACACTCCATTTCCTACTGCAATGTTTTATATGATACTGGATAAGATACTGAGCTCTTATACAGCCTCCCCAGTTCAATCCCAACAAAAGTGCTTGTTCTGGTGTCTCTTGTGTTTATGTGACCATGGGGTTTTTCCTCCCCAGGTGCTGATTATTCATACCAATAATCTGACATCCTTAGTTCCAAAGTCCTGCAGCCTCCTGAGTCTCATAACTGTGAAGGTAATTGTGATTCTTAACAGTTCAACTGCAGCCTATTTTCCTTGGATTTGAACTGCACTAAAACACACCAGCCCAAGTAAATCCCTTCTGGCTGGCTGGCTTTGCCAGGAATCAATACCAAGTGTGATACCTGCCTTTTCTGGGTTCAGCTCCCAGGCTGGCAGACAGCAGTCACTGAGTGGTTTGTGTCACATCACCATCAGTCCCACACTCATTTATCCCCTTCAGAATCCCACAGTTTCCCCCTCAGCAGCCTCACTGGTGGTGGTGGTCAGGCAGAGCTGGGTGTGTTGTGGGGTAGATCCATTTCTCCCCTGCTCTGGAGGGTCACAGGAATGGGAAGGAAACTGGTGATGGGTGTACAGGGCTATATCACCCTCGTGCTGGGATTCCCAAGAGGCAGAGTCATTTCAGCAGCTCCACATGGAGGGAGGGAGGTCTCCAGGTCTAGTCCCACCCTCTCCCTGCACTGCTGTTGGAATAGTTCAGCTTCCAAAGAGCAGTTCAGCTCACTGATCCTGCAGAAATTCCTTCTGCCATCCTAGTTCCAAGGGGATGATTTATCCAGTTGGCTCCTCCAGTTTTGTGGGACAGCTCCCTCAGTGTCACTGCTCTCCCTTGTCTCTTGTTTGTTACTGATGCCTGAGTTTCCAAAAGACCTCCAAGAATTAAGTACCCATGTCCCCTGGAAAAATTGAGCTGCTTTTCAAAGTCCCATTGGAAGCAAAGTAATTTTCGTTGTGAGATAATTCAGGGCTTTTGTTCCCAACCTTGTTTGGTGACATCATCTGCTTTTCCAGGTTCTGGATCTGCATGACAACCAGCTGGCATCACTTCCTGCTGATATTGGTCAGCTGACAGCTCTTCAGGTAAAAGATTTGAAGCTGTATTCCAGGTGTCTGTACAGGGCATGGAAAAAAGGAGGAAAGGAACAGGAGAAGAGCAGGAAAAGCCAGGCTTGGTTATGTTCTCCAGCTTGGTGCTGCCCAAGTGGCTCCCATAGCCATGCAGATGCTCTGAGCAAGCAGAGTCCTGCTGATCTCCCCAGACATTCAGGTTTTGCTGTTCTCCCTGGGGTGGTTATGTTGAGAACCCAGAGCAGTGTCTAAGGGCACACTCAGGGTCTCTCTGCTCAGGGGACAGCTTTAGGTGAGAGCTGGAGTTGGGGAGGGCTGCCCTGGACACTCCAATTCCCAGTTCCTGCATCTGGATCCAGCACCAGATGTTGGTGGTGATCAGAGTTTCTCACTGCCCTGGTAGCTTGGCACACCCTTTATCCAGGGCTGGTGTAAAATACACTTTTTTAACCCTGAAAGTGCTGTCTACAACCAGTATCCTTGGACAACCAGTTGTCCTGAAAGTCCCAGCAGCACAGATGTGTAGAAGACATGAGACTTGGATGAATATTTTGAATATCTTTTCTGTTAATACCTTAGGTCCTAAACCTTGAAAGGAATCTTTTAAAAAGCCTTCCACAATCTATAGGAGACCTTGCACAGCTCCAGGTTCTCAATGTGAAAGGTATGGAATGGGATTGCTCTGGGCAAAGCACATTTATTATCTGGTCATGGTGAGCTGCATTAGCAATTATTCCTTTCAATCAAGACAAGCACCATATGGTTTACACTCTGAATGCTGGGGAAGAACACAAGGAAGGTTTGAATCTAAATAGTTGGCAAGGCAGGAGAAATGATCTAAGCAGAAAATGTGTCAGCCTCAAACCTCAGCCTCCATAAAGCAAGCAGAGCACTCAGCCAGATAAACTGAATTATAGTTGAGTCCCCCAAGACCCAGAGCTGGCTCCTGTGAGCCTGTGTATCCCCACAGGTTTTCACAGAACAAGCACACCTCTTTTCCAGACTCCTGGACATTCTCCAGCTATGCAATGCCATAAATCTGGGAGGAGATTTAGTTACATGGAGCTGTTACTGAAACAGGGAAGGCAATGGAGGGTGAGGAGCTTGGAAGGGCAGCTCAGGTCATTGTCTGTCTGTCTGCAGCACCTGGGCTCTGAGCCTAGGGTGTGCAATCTCACACTCAGTCCTCTTCCTCCCATCCTTGGGACTTAGGCCAAGGGAAGAATGTTACAAATATTCTCCTGATAAAGAGCACAGATCCAGCCTGCAGCAGTGACCTCAGCTGAGAAGATCTGGATCCCAAATTGCCCTTGGTGGGCAGTGCCATCCTGTGGGTCCCTGTGTGACCTGGCACAGCCCCATCCCTGTGGAAATGAGCCGTATGTGTGGTTATGGAGTGATGTTGGAACAGATGAGCTTGCTGGCTCCTGGTTTGGGAAGGTTGGAAAAGGAGACCCAGGGGTGCCCTCATCACTCTGCACAGCTCCTGAAAGGTGCCTGTGCTCAGCTGGGGCTGGGCTCTTTCTCCAGGCAGCACTGACAGAACCAGAGCACACAGTCTCAAGCTGGGCCAAGGGAAATACATGTTGGATGTTAGCAAAAAGTTTTTTTACAGAAAGAGTGATAAAGTTCTGGAATGGCTGCCCAGGGAGGTGGTGGAGTCCCCATCCCTGGGTGTGTTTAACAAAGGCTGGATGTGGCACTGGGTGCCAGGGTTTAGTTGAGGGGTTGGGGCTGGGTTGGACTCGATGGTCTTGAAGGTCTCTTCCAACCCAGTCATTCTGTGACTTCTGTAGTTCCATGGTTTCTACCTTTCTGTCCCTGCAGGGAACAAGCTGAGGGCGCTGCCCGGGAGCGTGAGCGGCCTGCGGAGCCTGCGGGCTCTGGATGTCAGTGGGAACGAGCTGCAGGAGCTGCCCCGGGTGCTGGCCCACGCCCGCAGCCTGCAGGTACCCAGCCCTGGGCCAGCCCTTCCAGCTGCTTCCTCAGCTGGGAATAAATCCAGCCCACAAGGGGAATGATTTGTGTAGGGTCTGGGCAGGATGCGCTGCAGAGGATTGTAATAGGGCTGTTGACACTGTCCACAATGACTTTTATGTACTTGCTCTGGTCTTTTCTGATCATTTTTACCATTTAATCTGATAATTTTGCCATTTAATTCTGATCATTTTTTCATTTAATCATGACAAAAGTGATCCCCAGAGAGTGAACCCCTGGATTTTACCTGCCAGGGCTGTCTTTAAGAGTACAAACCATGCTTTTGTCATCCTGGCAGATCTCCAACTTGTTATCAGCTTTCATGTGTTTATGGCTCTCTGAAGTGCACATTCAGAATGGGAAAAGCAGCAAGATTTTTATGGATATGTTGCCTTCTGGCTGCCAAACCTGTCAGTACTAAATGGTGCAAGTGTGAGGCAACAGGGCTGGCTCAGACACCAGCAGGAAGGTGTGAATAAATGCTCTCCTATCTCACACACAACATTCTGCTTCTCATGAAGGACAGCCTCACTTCTCATGAGGACAGCCTGAGCTGAGGCATCTGTGCAGCTTTGCCCCTGTGCAAAGTGGTTCCTTTCTAGGCCTTCCTGCTCTGCCCTTCCCTACACAAGGCAGCATTGGGTCCATTCGTGGCCACAGCAGGACAGAACAAGTGGCTCTTCCCCTCATTCTTTATGGGACTCCTCTCCATGCCCTGGTATCACCCCCATTTCCATGCTGAACTCCTGACATGGAATAGGGAATGTCTGTAACTGAGAAGTGCTCTGATCTCTGGTACCTAAACAAGAAGTGCCAGTGCCTGCATGAGGGGAATGTTCAGTGAATGGCCGGCTCAGAAACTTCCAAATAACAGACAGTGGAGTTATCTCTGAAAGGTGCCAGACACCCAGTAGAGATTCAATACAGCCTCACGTTTGTGTTAGGATTTAGGGTAATATGAAGTAAGATTTTGGGGAGCTGCAAGGAGAACTGCAGCTGGACTCAGAATAACCTGGAGCTCTATTTGTTCTGTTTTGGAGACGCTGACCCTGGATGCCTCTGCCATGACCTACCCACCCCCTGACATCTGCAGTGCAGGTACAGAGGCCATCCAGCACTTCCTCTGCAAAGGTAAGCCAGGAGCACTGGGGTGTGCCCAGAGATGGCATTTCTGAAGGACAGACATGGTGTGGGCCCTGCTTGGGGTGGTTGGTGGCCCTGCACACCTGGTTACCTGTCTTTGTTGGCAAACAGCACACACCGAGTCCTTCCCTGAGCCCTGCCACACTGGAATGCAGAGTGGTTTGTTAAAAATCAGAGTGGCTGGGTCAGGTTTTCTCAGTGGCCATGAGAGGTCAGTGCACCTCCTGAGGTTATTTGGATTTCCTCCTATGGGAGGATTAGGCATTGTCCAGCTGTCACTGCCTTGGGACAAGGAGAGAGACTCAGGAGTCACTCAAGGTTCCTGCTGCCCTCATTTTCTCTGAGGAAGGACCTGGGCCCTGCAGGTTGTTTGGAGAATCATGAAAACAGATGGAGAACTCAAACTCACAGATAATATACTGGGAGTTTGTAGACACTGTGTTTAATACACACAGGGAGTTCTGGTGGAGGTTTTATGCAGGGGAAGTGCCTTGCCAGACATTGGGATATTTCCTGAAAAAACAGGACAGTCAGAACTTATTATAGTCTGGGCAGTAACATCAGCAGCCCTGCAGAAGTCACCAAGCCTGCACCTGTGTGCAGGATGTGTTTCTGTCTGAGCAGATCCTTGTCCTGGTGGGGCTGGAGTGGCCCCACCTTCCTCCCAGAGCTCCTTGTCCATCCTGCCTCAGCTGGAGGAGCCCTGCCAGGCACTCCTTGGGGTGTGGGCAGAGGGGGCACAGCTGGAAGCAGTCCCACACAGCAGCCAGCTCACAGCCATGGTGCCAAGGAGATCTCTGAGCCTCAAATGTTCTTATTTTGTGTCTGGTGCCTTGCAGAGTGTGGAATTGCGTACTACCCTCCCTCACAGTACCTGCTGCCCACGCTGGAGAGCGATGGAGGAGGAACTTCAGTGGATGGGGTGGACAGGACAGTGGAGAAGTACCTGGAGGAGGAGAGTGAGTGGCAGGTGAGGCTCCCCTGCACCAGGGGGTTTGGGATTTGTCTCTGTGCTCCACCAAAGCATCTCACAGCACTTGGCTCATCATCCCTCATCACCTTCCCCTCCACGAGTTGTGTCTTTTGAGATGGAGGGAGCAGCCAGGCACAGTGTGTGCAAGGGTGGCTCATCTCCTTCCTCAGCTGGGGCTGGTGTCACCATGCTTACTCCTGGAAGACACATCCCAAAGAACTGTCTCCATCCTTGAAAGCAGTGATGGAGCCAAGGGACAGGAGTGACAGGGGGACATGGAGTGTGCAGTGTGTTTTTGGGGGGACAGCAAACTGCAGAAGAACCTTGTGTTTCCAAGCCAAGTGCTGGACATGTTCAGCCCTACCTGGGAAAGGGGAGGCTGGGCCAATAATTGTGGTAGCTGTGCTAATTCCTGTGCTCTTTGGCAAGTGCAGAGTCAATGCCTTTGCCCCTGGAGAAGCCTGAGTGACTGGACTTGGGGCTTGTGTTCCTGTGCTTTTTGTTGATGTCTTCACTCACAGTTAGGGGAGGCTGTAATGTGGACTAATAATATCTACAAAAAAGTACTTCTGGGAATAAATGTCTCTTGATGTTACTTTTCAGAACAAATTCTTGGATTATGAGAAGAGGAAGGTAAGGATCAACTCCTGCAACTGCTTTGTCTGCAGCATGGGTCTGCTTCTGGTTTTTGTTTTCCATCTTTTTATTTTGTTTCTCATACCCCTTACCTGGCTACACTTTTAGTTTGTTCTTTTTGTTTCCCAGGTCTCTGTCTCTTCCCCTGTGCAAGGCTCACTTTGAAACAGCCAGAAGCTCCTTGCAGTTCCCCTTTTGCCTTTGGCTCCAGCTGCTCAGAGCTGGCTGCTTCCTTCAGACAAGGGAGTCCTGTGCCACGTGGAGCTGAACACAACCTGCATTTTGGGCTTCCCTGCATGTGTTTGTATTGGCTGGTTTGGTATCAGTCAATGCCCAGAGAATTCAGCTCCATAACATGAAAGAGTTTGGAGATTGTTATGAAGAGAGCAGCAGCTTCTGCTTCCCATTTTTGGGTTCCTGAGGAGAGAACATTCCCCTCCCCTAGACAAGCCTCCTGTTTGCCATTTAGCTTCCCTTCTTCTCTGCAAGGGTCTCCTGTCCCTTGCTTTACCTTTTTGCTAGAATATGTTCTTGCTGGGGAAGGAGATTCCTCTCATTCGTCTTTCTTCTGATTCCTCTCAGGAAAGAAAAACGCAGGAGAAGCTGGAATTTGAGCGGCGCCTGAACGTGGGGCAGCGAGAACAGGCCCTGCTGGTGCAGCAGCTCAACAGCCACAAGGATGAGATCCTGCAGACAGTGAGAGAGGTGGGTGTGCTGGGCAGGCCCTTCCAGGGCCCACTGCCTTCCCCAAACCCACCACCTTCTCCTGGTTTCCCTGCTCTGGGCAGGAGCAGCAGAGGCTGGAGCAGGGTCTGTCGAAGCACCAGCGCTGTTTGGAGGAGGAGAGGCTGAAGCTGCTGCAGCAGCTGAAGGACACAGAGCAGAGCATTGCCAGCCGGATCCAGAAGCTGCTGGAGGACAACCAGAGGTGGGGTCCCAGGGGGTTTTGCTCTGATTTTTTTTTTTTTGTCATGTTGTTTTGAGCAGTTCATTTCACCCCTGAGTGTTTCAGACCTGGTCAGGATCAAAGTCTGGAGGAGCTGCCTTCGCTCCTGGACTGCCAAAGACCCATTTAAAGCACATGGAATTTGCATCTTATAAAAACTGTTTCACAGATGTGTGAGGTTGGGATTTTGCAGTGCTATGGAAGAAATTTGAATTCTCATGGAAGGTGCAAATTTGAGGTGTTAAGGTGCCCCTGCCTGTGTCTGCTGGGTCTCCATGTGAGGTACTGCTGTTGGGAGGTGCCCAGCCTGCTGAAAGTGCTCTGCTGTGCATGACAGCAAAGTTGTTTTCTCTCAGGCACACGGGGGGATTGTTGGGGTTGTCCTGTGCAAGGCCTGGAGCTGGGTAAAGCTTTTGGGTCCCTTCCAAGTCAGGATTCGGTGACTCTGTGATTCTGCCCTCTGGGGGACCAGGATGTTCTACTCAGCTTGATGAAAACCTTTTCTTTTATCCTTTTTTTTTTTTTTAGGCAAAAACGAAGTTCAGACATTTTGAAGTCCTTGGAGAATGAGAGGTGAGCCTCTGTAACAAACTTGTCTGGAAAAGGGGTAAGAAGCTGGGAAGAGGCCTGGGAGCTTCCTTTCAGAGTCACAGTCTGAATACCCTAAGTCAGGTGAAGGTCATCTCATACCTGAAGCTGGTTGTGGTCACTGTTGGAGGCAAGACACTGGACTCAGTGTGCCTGGTCTTACCCAGTCTGGCACACCCACTCACAGGGTGATTTTACCTCTTTTTCATCTTTGAATGGGCCTAAATAATGAGTTTGGAAACAAAATTCTTTATTCCAATATGAAGGACCAGCAGAGATCCTCCATCTGCTGGCAAGCAAAGGGTGTTCAGGCTGGGAGGAGTAGGCGGGAAGCAAATCTGCCATTCAGCCAACATTCTGAGCTAACTGCCACCAAAAGTGACTGTCCCCAGCTCTGCCCTGCCTGTGAGCTGCTCCCTCCCTTCAGCCAGCTGTGCTGTGGCCAGTGAACTGGATGAACATCATCCAGTTATTTGTCAGACTGTTCCCCAGCCACACCAGCTCCTGACCTGGTAAATGGTGGGGGGAATGTGCTGGAACAAGGACAGGGGTGGTGGGGAGGGAGGCCAGGCTGCTGCCTGCAGTGGCACTGCTCACTTGGGCCAGCTGTGTAGGGCTCATCCAGCCTCAGCAGAAAGGAAAGGCAGGGAAGGGTCTGGCACTGTTTGGGGAGAGCATGTGCACGTTGTGTTGATGTTCTGTCTCTCAGAAAAATCAACTTCCCTGCCTAAAGCCACCATCTCCGTGGTTTTGAGCAAATGTTGTCTCCCATAAAACTTACAGGTTCTTCACCAAAAAATCACCAAGGCTTTGGTGCCTCTGATAAGCCCAGCTTTCCTGAGCAGGGTGAACCTGCCCAGCCTTGAGATTGAGCTGGGTGGGTAGAGGAAAAGGAATCTTCTGAAGGAGTGGCTGAATTGTTGTTTGTTGGCAGAATCAGGATGGAACAGCTGATGGCAATAACCCAGGAGGAGACGGAGCAGCTGCGCAGGAGGGAAGTGGCCTGTGAGTCCAGACAGGTCTTTGGGGAGATGAGGTGAAGGGGCACCAGGAGCAGCTGAGGGGGCTCAGCCTGGAGAAGAAGAGGCTCTGGGAGGATTTTCTTACTCTCTACAACTCCCTGAAACAAGGGTGTGTCCAAATGGGGGTCAGGCTCTGCTCCCAGGGAAGAAGGGACAAGAGAAGAGGAAATAGCCTCAAGTCCCCCCAAGACTGGCAGAGCCCAACTCCTCTCTGCTCTGGGACAGGGACAGGAGCCAGGGAACAGCTGGAGCTTGATCCTGGTGAGTTCCTTCCTACTTCCCAGGAGATTCTGTGATCTCAGGGTTGGTAGGCAGGGACTGGGCTTCTCTTAGCACTGAAGAGGTGCAGGCACAGGCAGAGTGGAGTTTGCTCAGCTCTTTTCCCAGTAAAGAACCACAGGTGGGTGGGTGGGTGTGCTCTGGAATCAGTGAAATGGGAAGAGCAAGAGCAATGAGAAAGGAGCCACTGCTGGTTGCAGTGACTGCAGCAGCAGTGGTGGTGAGTCCTGCTCTGCACACCCAGGCCAGGCAGGCACTGACAGCCCTTCTGTCCCCTCTGTCCCCAGCTGCCATGCAGCAGATGCTTGCTGAGACCTACAAGAACAAGCTCCTCCAAATGACCTCCGAGTCTCGTCGGCAGGACCTCGTCAGCCAGGCCTGCTCCAGGTACAGGGGGTGGTGCTGCTGTGAAATCCCTTTCTTTCAGCAGTGTAATTCCCATAAGTACACCAGGAACCCCTGGAGCTGCTGGAGTGCAGCAGGACAGCTGTAACTGCACAGGAAAGTGCAAATTAAACTGTCAGACTCCCTTAAATGAACCACCTTCTAATGACCACAATTTGCATGTTAATCACACTTTGGGGGAACTGTCACTTTTCTGCACTGTTTATTTTGCGTTATACATTCTGCTAAATATGGAGGATGGAGTTAGACCAGTTGTATTCCTGTTTCTTGAGTCCCTTCAGTGCCAAACTGTAGCCCAGAGCTGCTCCCCTCACCTCCCAGGCTGCCTCAAGGGTGCTGTGTGAGCATAAGTAGTACATGAGTGTTGCTGAGCATCCTGGCTCACTGTTTGCAACAAGATGCAAAATTTTAATCTGGCCATGTCTGGCACTGACCAAAAACAGCCTTTAAGTCTGTGACCTGCTCAACAGGGCCACAGGAGCCTGTGGTGCAGGTTTGGTTTGGGTGTAGGGAAGGAGGTGTTAAATTTGTGGCCTTCAGCTGTGCAGTGCCACGGTTCTTCCCCCACTCAGTAAGAAATTCCTCCTCCTGCATTCCCCATTGCCTGCTTCTCCTCTGAGTCCCAGACCCAGCATTAACTCCATGGCACATCCATCTCCTTGCAGCCTAGCTGAGATGGATCAGAAGTTCCAGCAAATCCTGGCTTGGCAGCAGCTGGATCAGAACAAAGCTGTCAGTCAGATCTTGCAGCAGGTAGGCAAAGGAGCAAACTGGTCATAGGGGATGGAGGGAGAGCAGGATCCAGGGTCACAGGAGCAGCAGTGGCTGGGCTGCATGCAGAAGTGATTTTATTTAACATGCTAAACTTTGGAAATATCTGTTATTCTGACAAACTAATTTGGGTGGTTGAAAAAAAATTATTTTTTATCTAGACAGCAAATTTTCAGAAAAGACAGAAGCACAGACCATGGGAAGCAAAACTGACACAATGATTAAGAGGGGATTTTGAGACAGAAGTCCTGTCTTTTGGGAGGTTTCCTGGGGCACTTGGGACAAGCATTTTCAAAGTTTGTTCTATGAACTGCTGGGCAGCTGTGCCCTGCAACACAGCCTGGCTAATCAGTGCTGCTGAGAAGGAGAGGTGAGGTCACACAGAGCATTCCAGATGAATGTTTGAATTAATATATCTCTGTGTGTCTCCAGGGTGGGCTTTACCTGTTGGGCTCTCAGCTGTGTTTCAGGACATTGTTGCTCAGAGCAAGCACCACTCAGGGACTTGTACCTGAGTCCCTGCAAGGCTGCAGCTTCTGAGCCCATCAGCAACTGCACCAACCACCTCACTAAGCAGGATTTTGCCTGTCCTCAGATTGAGATGCAGAAAACTGCCTTTGAAGCTCTCCAGGTGAAGAAGGATCTTATGCACAGGCAGATCAGGAACCAGGTGAGTCAGCAACAGAGGAAAGAACAACCAGCTCCTCAGCTCATCCTGCTGTTTGGTGAGACCCTGGGAGGAAGAACAAAGTGCTGTGAGCACAGAGCAGGGTCTGAGGACATGGAGAGCTCTGGTGCTGCTGAGAGCTCTGGAACAGAGAGTTAGACAGTTACATTCCAGTCTCCCAGCTCTGAAGGAGGCAGTGTCAAAGCAGGTTTTAGATTCCTGGAGGTGGTGGCATTGCCACTCCTTCAGTCACCTGCACTGGCTCCGGGGGTGATCTGCAGTTGCACCTCTGATTTCCTTCAGGCTGCTGCTTCCACATGAGCCCACTGCATCTCCATCCAGCACATCAGAGCTGCACCTTAAGCCATCCATTCACCTTTTCTTTCCCATTCTCAGCCTGCCTTTCTGAGCTCCATTCCACAGAAGGTGCAGTGATGTAGTTGGGGGGAAGAGCAAGAGCTGGTGGAGAAAGTAGTGGTGAATGATGCAGGATGATTGGAAAGTGGCAGGGGATGATGCAGGAAGGTGGGAAGGCAGCAGTGGTGCATGCAGGAAGGAGGGTTGCTGGTTTCTGACACAGTGCTCCAGAATTTTCCTTCTCCTGATCTGTCACAGAAGAAAAGTCTCAGTTCAGGATTTGGTGGATAAACTTGAGGGCTTGGATATTTTGAGTGCCCCAGTGACCAGTCTCTGCTGGAAGCCTGTGACCTGTCTGGCAGCTCCCCATCATTGCCTGACTTCACCATGAAGGCCCTGACTTTTGCTCCCTCTGTCTCTGTGAACAAAGGGAGTTTGTTCCTCGATGCCAAGGCTGGACCTTTCACCCTTGGGCCCCTCCCACCCCGTGCTGCAGGGGCAGAGCCCTGGGGTCAGCAGGAGCAGCGTGGCCTGGGGACAGTTGGTGGCCTGACAGAGGGGTGAGCTGGGCTCTCATCTTGGCTTTGCTGTGGGACCTTGGGCAACTCACTTCACCTCTCTGTGTCTCAGTTGCCCCACCTGAAAGAACTGAAAGTTCTGGGATTGCTGGAGCACCTGGAAACCAGGGCACTGTCCTGGAGTTCAGGAGTCTGAGGTTTGAGCTGTGCTGCTGGGAGGGCCTTGGCTCTGCATTCCAGAGTGGCTGCAAAAGGTTTGGGTGCACAAACTGATTGCAGTGTGAGGTTCCAGACTTGAGCAGAAGGTGCTCAGAGTAGAGAGACAGTTGGAGTGGGGGGACACAGCTCCTCAGGTAAAAGAAGAGGGACCCTCAGCACACACATCACCAAAGGGCACAAGCAGGTCCCCCCAACCTCTGGGTGCTCTGCAGTGCTGCTCTTCCCAGTCAGACCTCATTTTAAAAGAGCATAAATTAAAGCCATTTTAAATGTCAGTAAAAAATGTTTCATCTTCTGTTTAGATTAAATTAATAGAAACAGAGTTATTGCAGCTGACACAGCTGGAGTTAAAGAGGCAAGAACTGGACACAGAGATGCTGCAGGTATGTGGGGCTCTGGGGCTGCCCCCCACCCTCCCTGCTCTGGAATTGCTCCACCTGCTTCCCTTGCTCCTGGCACTTTCCAGATGGTTTTATGCTCAGTCAGAAGGTTCTTCTGCACAGGACACACCAACCCCTGTGTGTCCTGGGAATGTGGGACATCACTGCTGCTCCTAAACGTCCCCAGGCGTTCTCAGCAGAGAGACAGAGGAGCCCTGATAGGGATGGGCAGTTCCAGGTGTGCTGGGTGGGGAAGGATTTTGCAATCCAGTTGTTTGCTGTCCCAAAAACACTTGCCTGCTGTGCATTGCATGTCCTCTTGCATTGTGTTGTGTTTTGGTTTTGACATCATCAGCAATCACACATTTGAGGAATGCCAGGTTTAGCTTCAGCAGCTTGGCTTTAAATTTTGTTTTGTGATGATTTGCATCAGTTGTTTTCTTCTGTGTGCCATGTGCCAGGTCAGGTCACCTGTTTAGTCAGCCCAAAATCAGTGGCAAACAGCCAGGGCAGCCACAGAGCAGTGGTAAGTGCTGGCTTCAGGCAGCAGTGCCTCCCAGCCCTGTCCTGGATCCTTCAGGTGTCAGGTTTGGGTTGTGCTACCTGGACTCACTCAGCTCCTCTGTGTCACTCTGTGGTGTTGGAGGGCAGAGGGTGGGGACCACTCACAGTTCATGCAGGGCAGACCAGGTGTGACCTGGTGAGCACAGGAGCTGCAGGGCAGTGCAGGAAACAGGGCTCTGCCCTGCAGATTCTGCACCAGGAGCTGAGGAACGAGGCCTGAATGCCTGCATCTGCCTGGATCCCCCTGCCCTTGGTGCTGTGCCCCCCAGAGGGTCCCTGCTGGGGCTGGAGCAGCTCCTCCTGTCATCTGTTGTCCCTCTCCCTCCGTGGAGGTGGGGCTGATGCTTCCTGCCTCTGTCAGGGCAAGGCAGCTCTGGTCACCTGGAGGTGGGGCTGGCCTGGGAGGGGCAGCTGTTCCTCTGCAGGGGCCTTGTTCCTGTGCAGGGTCCAGGTGCTGATCCCAGGCTGGACAGGCCTTGCAGCCCCCTGGGACAGTGGAAGGTGTCCCTGCCCATGGTAAGGGGTGGGACGAGATGGGTTTTAAGGTCCCTTCCAACCAAACTAGTCTGTGATTCTGTGATCAATGAAGGTTTTCCCAAACTTCAGGGTGTAACAGAATTCTTGTCCCTCTGTCCACTGGCATCTGAAGTCCTTGTGGCTGGTGACCACTGGCCTCTGCTCAGATCTGGGTGAGCTGGGACCAAAGCTGCAGACATGCCACATGATGGGACATTCCTGAGCCACTTAACTCTCCACTGCCAAGGAGTGGCTGGAGGGACACCTGGCCTTGCCCTGGTGTGCTTGGGATGAGACCCCAGGGAAAGGAAGCATCCCAAAGGCAAGGGGATTTCACCTGTCCTGTTTACCTGCAGGATTCCAGACCTACTTTCAGGTGGTCTTTTCTCAGTTGGACAGGGCTTGGAGCAGCCTGGGACAGTGGAAGGTGTCCCTGCCCGTGGCAGGGGTGGCACTGGATGAGCTTTAAGGTCCCTTCCAGCCCAAACCAGTCTAAGAGTCCATGATTCTAAGGAGGGGTACCATGAATACTTTTGGCTGAACTCCTCTGCAGGGAGGAGGAGCTGCTGCAGCCAGGGTGGGCTGGGGCTGGCAGAGGAGTGCAGGGCTGAGGGGGCAGGGTCAGCTGGTTCTGCTCTGCCAGTGCTAGGAGAGGATCTGAGCTGTGGGCACAGGGATTGCACAGCATGGGGACTGGTGTGGGTCTGGCAGGGGCTTTGCTGGGAGCAGAGGGTGGCAGCAGTGTGGGGCTGTGGCTGCCAGAGCTCTCCTGTTGCAGGAGGTGGTCACGGAGCAGCGCCGGGCGCTCGGCTGCCTCCTGCAGCAGCTGCTCAAGGAGAAGAAGCAAAGGGAGGAAGAACTGCAACAAATCCTGGTAATGAAGCCCCTCATGGAGTGCTGTGGGTGAGGCAGCATTTGGGTTGGCTGCAGGAAGAGTCCATGGCTCAGTGTGGGAGTGAAGGGGAGCAGAGCAGGGCTGTGTCCAGGTCCAGAAGCCAATTTAGCCCCAGGAAATGCTAATGTCAACCTGGGGGGCACAGCAGCACTGCCTGGTGCAGCATGGGCACCATCATCACCCCCAGTGACCCTGCTGGGCAGGGAGTGGTCAGCAGGATGAGCACAAGGGATGGGAGTTGTGGTCTTGCAACCCTGAAGATCTCCAGGCTCTCCTGAGCCTCAGGAGACCAGGCCACAGGGCCTGGGGCAAAGGGAGCATGGAGATGCACAGCCCTGTGTGGGGTCAAAGTGGGGCCAGCCTGCAGGAACCAGAAATCCCCTTAGACAGTTTCACAGTGCTCTGGCTGGGCCCTGCACACCCATCCCTGAGCCCTTCTGGCCATTTTCCCTCGGGCTGCTAAATTAATGAGTTTGTTTTTCAGCTGGAAATGGAGGCAAAGAGTGAAACCAAGCAGGAGAACTACTGGCTGATCCAGTACCAGCGCCTGCTGAACCAGAAGCCCCTCTCCCTGAAACTCCAGGTGCTGCTGCTGTTCCTCCTCCCACTGTGGCTCTGCTTTGCTCTGGGGGGAGCGAGGACAGTCCCCTGAGCTAAGGCTGGGAGCAGGTCACAGACCCCTCACACAGATCCAGTGCTGCCCATGGTGCTCTGAGCTCCCTCATTCCTGCCGGAGGATGGAGCTGCCCGGGTCCCTGTGGAGCCAACACTTCAGCTGTTCCCAGCAGGAACTGCTGTGTCAGCCCCAGACTGCTGGTCAGGAACAGAAAACTCTTGAGTACCTTCCAGGCAGGGCTTCTTGTTCCAGCTGAGCACCCAAAGGGCTCTGCTTGGCTCCCCAAATTCCCCTTCAAGCACGACTGAGTGCAGGAACTCCTGTCCATTCCTGCCCCTGATGGCCTGAGCCAGAGCTTTATGCTGGTGAAATCCCCTCAGGGTGGGCAAAAGGAGACAGATCTGAGCTCTGCCTGTGCTGCAGATTGGCTTGAGCTGGCAAAGCAGGGGCTGCAGCAGACATGGATTGCCACAGGCATTGTTTCATGTGTGAGGGGAGCGCCCTGGGGGCTGCAGCTCCCATCTCTGCTCTGGGACAGGGACAGGAGCCAGGGCACGGCTGGGGCTGGGCCAGGGCAGCTCAGGCTGGAGCTCAGGGCAAGGTTCTTCCCCCAGAGGGTGCTGGCACTGCCCAGGCTCCCCAGGGAATGGGCACGGCCCCGAGGCTGCCAGAGCTCCAGGAGCCTTTGGACAGCGCTGCCAGGGATGCCCAGGGTGGGCTTGTTGGGGGGTCTGGGCAGGGACAGGGGCTGGGCTGGGTGATCCTGGTGGGTCCCTTCCTGCTCAGGGTATTCAATGATTCCCAAACTCAACATTTTGAACTGTGCCCATAAAACACCTGGGGCCAGAGCTGCTCCAGCTGTTGGGCTTCCAGGCTTTGGTGTGTTTGGGGTGTGGCACAGCTGGAGCAGGGCAGGCCAGGGATGAGCACAGCCCCAGCCCTGCTGCTGCCTGGCCCCAGGGGCACAGTCTGGGAGCTCATTCCATGTTTTGCAGGAGAAGGGTTTGGAGCAGCAGCTGGTGACCCTGCTGCTGGAGCTCTCTGCTGAGCAGTACCTGCCACTCTTCGCTCACCACCGAATATCCCTGGAAACGCTTGGCACCATGAGTGCCAGTGACCTGGAGAAGGTAGGAGACAGCAGAGCCACAGTGTGGGACAGCACCAGCAGGGATTGTCCCTGTCCCTGCTCAGAATCCGGCTGTGCCTGGCAGGTCTGGCTGGTGCTCTGCTGTGTCACCTCCCCACAGGGACAGGGGCCTGTGCTGCTCTGCCCGTCCCTGTGGGCCAGTGGCTCTTCCAGAGACCTGTAGGGTGAGCTGCAGCCTGGCTCCATCTTCCAACATCCTCCAGATGCTCTCTGTAGTAGAAATAGCACCAAGAAATTCCTGGTGCCTGGCAGAGGGGCTTTCCTCAGCATGGCCACATCTTGCCAGCAATGCCCAGGAGTTTTCACTGTCCCCTTGGGGACATCAGCTGCTGTCCCTCTGGGGCCAACACCCTCCTCTTGCCCCACAGCTCGGTGTGACAGAGGCTGGTCTGCAGCGTGCCATCCTCAGGCGGGCTCAGGAGATCCTGGCTGTGGCCACGACCATCCCAGGTACCTCCCATTCTTTTCTGCTACATTTTACTCTCAGCAGGTACCTGAGCCTGGAGCAGGGAGCTCTGTAGGCCAGACACCTCCTGCGGGTGTGCGAGGAGGGCAGGCAGGGCTGCGGGGGGCGATGGGCAGCGCTCAGGGCACTCAGCTGGCTGCGCTTGCAGAGCTGCGGAGGGCAGAGGACAGCGAGGTTCCCGCGGGCCCAGAGCCCAGCGCTCCCCCGGAGGAGCCCCCGGGCCCCGCGGCCCCCACGGCCCCAGCGCTGCAGTGGGACGAGAAGAAGTCGGAGTGCGTTGTGTGCATGGAGCAGGAGGTGAGACCCGCACCGCCCGGGGCTGAAGCAGGGAGCGGAGGGAGGGCGGGATCCAGCGCAGCCCCAGCTCTGCCCGGCCCTGGCAATGCCCGGCTGCTCATCCCGCCAGCGCCCGGGCACAGCCGGGCTGGGCATCACAGCGGGGATGGGGGGAGAGGAGGGCAGGGCAGGGCAGGGCAGGGACGGACAGGGCTCCGTGCGGGCTTGGGCAGGAGCTCGCTGAGCTCCCCCTCCGGCCGTGGGCAGCGCTCACGGGGCTGCTCAGCTCAGCCCAGCTCAGCCCCCGCCGTGTCCCGCCCCGTGTCCCTTGGTGTCCCGCCCCGTGTCCCATCGCGCTCCTGCTCGGCACAGCCCAGGCCCCGCACACCCAGGGGGGACGGAGATCGGGGTGCGGGGCTCTGCCCCCACGCTGAGACCCCGCGGGTGATCCCCAGCTCCCCCATGCTGGGAGCGGTGTTCAGGGACAGCAGCACTCTCCGCGTCTGCTCTTTGTCTCTCCCGCAGCCCCAGATGATTTTCCTGCCCTGTGGCCACGTCTGCTGCTGCCAGGGCTGCTGCGAGCGGCTGCACTCGTGTCCCCTGTGCCGCCAGGACATCGCCCAGCGCGTCCGCATCTTCCACAGCGCCTAGGCCGGCCCGGCGGGCCCCGGCCCGCTCCCGGGCTGTCCCCGCTGCCGCTCACGCCCCCGTGAACAGCGCCTCGGCAGCACGGCCAGCGCTGCCCTCCCCGCGCTGCCTGTGCCCGGGAGCCTCTGCATCCTCCCAGCTCCCCGGTGGCTTCTCAGCCCCAGCTGGGGCTCTTCAATGAATCCCTTCTGCCGCCCACCCGCCCTGCGTCCCCGTGCCTGGGTGACAAACCGGGCGCAGCTGTGGCTCCTCCTCTCTGGCAGAGCTGTTTGCTGTCAGAAGGGCCCCTGGGGGATCACAGGGACACGGGGAATGCTTCCAGCAGTGCTGCGCGGAGGGGGGGGGGGAAATTTCCCGTGGGAGCATTCGGTCAGGACGTGTTGTTCTTCGTGTGCTGACACTGCCGTGCACCTCTGTCATGCCAAAGGTCTGGGGCTTCTGCTCTGGAGCCCCGCAGGAGCGTGTCTGGGTCTGCAGCCTCAGGCAGGCAGAGCCAGGAGCTCCCCAGCCCCCAGTTCCTGCTCCTGCAAGGGGAGAGAGCAACACCCCCAGGACTGGAGGGACCTGCCCTGGCCAGAGGAGCCCAGTGGGGTCCTTATCCACAGATCAGGTAGGGAGCAGAAAGTGCTGCTGCCACTGGACAGCACTGGGGCAGGGCTGGGGCTGTGCCCAGCTCAGGACCACGGTGCCTCTGCACTGGGGTGTGGGGACTGCTCCATTTTCATTGATCAGTAACAATTCCTGTCTGTCCCTCGGCTCTTGACTGAAATATAAAAATGCTGCCACGAGCCCAGTCCCACCACCGCCTTCCCCAGGAGCAGCCATTAAACTGCAGCTGGTTTCTGCTGGGGGTGTTTGCTGCCTCTTTCTTTCTGCAGGGACGATGGCTGGAGCAGGGACAGGGACACCACCCCATGCCTGGCTGTCCCAGTGTCACCTCCTCCTTCTCTTCTTCGTGTCAGAGAAGGATTTGAGGCTCTGGGTCTTCACCCAGGGTGTTGCTCATTGTGGAGCTGCCCCAGGGATGTCCAGGCAGGGGAGACCTTGGACCCTACGCTTGGGTTGCCTCACATGAGCTGCCCCATGCAGAACATCCCTGTGGGACACGTGTGTGGCCTCGTGGAGGTGGCCCGTGCCCAGTGCCACCAGTGTCCTGGGGACGTGCCACAGCACCAGGGCCGGTGCCTTGAGAACACCCTGGGGATGTTTTTCCAGTCTCTGTTTTCACGTTTTGCTGCTGCTGCCCATCAGAGCAGGCGGGTCCTATGGGGAGGGGCAAGGGGCTGCACCGGGAGCAGCTGGTGCTGGGGATAAAGGGGAGCCCTGGGGAGGGCAGGAATGAGGGCAGGAAGGGTCGTGGAGCACCCTCCCTCTCCCTCGGCATTCCCTGGGGTCGGGGAGGAGGAGGGAGTCACAAGCCCTGGCCTGAGGGAGGAGCAGGGAGAGGGCATCCAGCCCCTCAAGAAGCCCCCCCTGCGCCCCCTTCCCCGGGGCACTCACACGGGTCCGGCCGGAGAGCGAGGAGAGTCCCGAGGGCTGCCCCGACACCCGGCCAGCAGCAGCGATGCTGCAACACCCCTTCCATCCCCTCTGCCCCCATCCCAGCGCCCCCTCCATCCCGTCCGGTGACCGCCGAGCCGTGCCGGGGGTGGCGAAGGGTGACAGGAGCTCAGGGCAAGCTCCGCTCGGGGACAGTGCCCGTAAAGAGGGGCCAGCGCTTCCCGGAGCGTCGGCAGTGCCGGGCTGCCTTCATCGCCAGGGCCAGCACGGCCCCACGAGCTGCAGGGACAGCCCCGCTCAGCCACGGGTCACACAAAGCAGCTGGAGCCAGGACTCCGGGCACTTTCTGAGACTGCGGGAAAAAGTAAAATAATAATTTTAAAAGCACTCTTGGGCCCCACCCAGCCCCAGCAGTGCCGGGCAGTCGGGGGCTGCAGCCCCGTCCATCCCTGGAGCCCCGAGGTGGCCGTGCCAGGGGCCAGGGCCACCTCCTGCGCCGGGTGACAAACAGACCCCAGGGCCGGTGGGAAATGGGTGCGCGACGGGGCTGCTGTACCCAGTGCTCAGCCGGTCCTAAAGTTCATTAACAGTGATGGAAACCGTGCTTGGGAAGCGCCAAGAGTATGATGGATTTGGAAGGGGAAAAGGGAAGGAGCTGCAGGTGTTTAGGGGCAGCAGCTCTGCGGTGGAGGTGGAGCGTTCCCTGTGCCGCTCCAGCGCTCGCCGAGCACCCTGGGGCCAGGCTGAAGTTCAGGGGGGGCGGCCGCCCCGGCCCCCTCAGCCCTCCCCGGGCTCGGCCATCGCCGCCCCCCGCCTTCAAAAGCGGCCGGGCCGAGCCGTGCCCGCGGAGCGCGATGGCAGCGGGGCCCGAGCCCGGCCGGGAGTGCGGCATCTGCTACGAGGCGTACTGGGGTGCCGGGGGCGGCCCGCAGCAGCTGCCCTGCGGCCACTCGCTGTGCCAGCGCTGCCTCCGCAGGCTCGTGTGTCGCGCCGCCACCGTGGCCTTCGTCAGCTGCCCCTTCTGCAGGATGGTGACGCTGCTGCCCGAGCTGGCCCCGGCGGTGACCGCGGACCCGGGGACCCCGCGGGGGGAGCAGCAGCCGGAGAACGGCGGCGGTGCCCCCCCGGACCCCGGCCAGGGCTCATCACGCTCCGTGGCCGCGCTGTGCTCGTCCCACGCCCCCGTGTTTGCCGTGAGCAGCTCGGTGTCCCCCTGCGGCCTCCGCCGCGGCTCCGAGGCCCCCCACGCCTTTGTGTTGGGGCTGCTGGGCCGGGGGCTGCTGCTGGACACGCAGCCCCCGCTGGCCTCCATGGAGAACCTGCGCCTCGGCTTCGCCGCCGGCATCCTCGTGCTCATCGTCTCCACCTTCTTCCTGCTCGTCTTCCTCAAGTAGGTCCGCTTGGCGGAGCGGGGCTCCCATCCCATTCCAGCCCGCCCCAGCCCGGTGGATGGACCCGGTGATGGGTCAGGGACCGCTCGGGCCGCGGACACTCGTTGGGCCGGGCCGCGGCCGGGGCTCAGCACCCGCCTGGATCCAGCCCTGGGGCCCGCAGGACGCTCGGCTGCCCCGCACGGGAGCCCCCGGCCATCAGACTCTTTAAAAATTAACTTATTGCAGCGCTCTCGTCGCCCCGGGGGCTGGCTGTGCTCTCGCTCCCTCCCGAAGGCCCGCGGGCCCGCGGCACAGCTCGGCGGGAGGCGCCGCGGGGCCCGGGGCCGGAACACTGCCCGGCGGGCTGAGAGGAGCCGGGAGGAGCCGGGAAGGGTCCCGCAGGGCTGGCCGGGGGAGGAAGCTGTTCCAAGGCGACTCCAGGCCCTTTGCCAGGAGGAGAGAGCCCGGCGTGGTGCCCGCAGAGGGAAGAGGCAGCCGGGGACGGGCTCGGCCCCTCAGACAGGAGACATTAAAGCCGGCCATGGGTCCAGCACCGCGTCCGGAGTCTTTCTGTGAGTCCTTGAGCCTCGGCAGGCAGAGCAGGCACCAGGATGGAGCAGGGGATCCTCTCCTTCCCGGCCCCCAGGAACCGCCTTGGGCACATCCTCAGCAAAGTTCTCCGCGGCTCACCCACCTCTGGCCAGAACTCAGCCCCGGGATCAGGGTTAGCTCCAGCACAGCCCCTGAGGCAGCATCGTCCTCTCTGGGCCCTGGCACGTCCCTCCCTCCTCTGCCCCTGGGAGCCCAGAGCTCCCGCTTCACCTCCCTGCAGCGAAGGCAGGTGCTCGCAAGGCACAGACAGGGTTAATTCTAGGCCGAGGTGGGGAAGGGGTTGTGGTGCCTGCTGGGCCTCAATGGGAGGGGGGACGGGCGAACGACAAGTTTCAATCCCGACTCTTGCACCACAATCCCTGCTGAGGGCTCCTAGGCACAGTGGAGCTGAACCTTTCTGCAGCCCCAGAGCAGCTCACGAGGGACAGGCCTCTGCAAAGCCCTGGAGGTGCCCAAGATTCCCTCCCCTAAAATCTGAGGGGAACCAGGCAAGTGCCCTCTGTGACCAGCACAGTTCTTTGTGCTGCAGCTTCTCACACCAACCCAGTCCAGTGGGAGAGCCCAAGGAGCTACAGCACAAAGCAACCTTCTCTCCTGTCCCAGGAGAGAGCTTCAACAACAAAAACAGACAAGCACAGCTTCTAGATCAAATTATTCCCAACTTAAGTCAGAGCGAAGTCAGTTTTCAGGTGACAGATAAAGCCAGACTAAAGTAAAGCCACTGCAAGCAAAAAAATCCAGGTTTAATTGCACTTTATTTTCCAAGAAGTGAAATGTAAATCCCTCAGGGTGTCTATCTGTAATGGGGAAGGAGAAGTGGAAGTTGTTAGTATGAGCAGTGATCGCTCCTGGGACACTGCATGGACAGGTCCAGATGCCACACCAGGGCACTGACCCTCAGAGCAGCACAAGCACCCCCAAAATCCAGTTCCAAACACCCTCCTAGTGAGCACTGAGTGATGCCCAGGAAGACCCAGCTCAGGTCACCCTGCATGGCAGCAGGGTGGCTGTCACAGGCTTTGGTCTCTGCCCCAATTTCAGCTGCATTTGGCAATTTGTGGAACTGAGACTGGGGCACAGGCACCTGTCACACCCCAACAGCAACACCCAGTGCTCTTTTGGGTGTTTCCTCCCAAGCAATCACCTTTATGAGGACAGAGATCTAATTCCATTCAGAGACTGTAAAGGCAGGTGTAGAAACTAAACCATAGAATTAGTATAATTAGTTTAAGTTCTTCCATTTTATGAAGGGTTTATTTATTTTAAAGACTTTTGGGGTGAAGTTGTGTTAGTGCCCACGAATGGAGAATAAAAGTGCTGTGAGAGCCCCAGGCTGTTTGCCCAGCTCTGTCCTCACTCCTTTCCCCTCCTGGTCCCCTCAGAGTGCATGGTGACACCCCAGACTGCCCAGCCCAGCCTGGGCCTTGTGTCCCACCCCTCTGTACAGTCTGACTGGTGCTGGGATGGTCACACTTCAACAGCAGCAGAGCCAAAGGCACGGGAGAGGGGCTGGGCTGTGGGGAAGGAGTTCCCAAACACACAGCCCATCCCAGAGCTGGGCTGCTGCTCCCACAGGGAAACACAGCCAGCAAAAGCCACCTCAGCTCTGGGCACAGGAGGAGCTGCCTGTGAGTGTCTGACTAACACACAGCAGGGATTGTGCTCCTTGTACCATCACAGCTACTCAGGCCCTGCTTTACCAGAGCTCCAAGGCCCAGCAGCACCTGTGCCACAGCTCTGAGTCAGTGCCCACCTGAACCACGTCAGCCCCCAGGGCTCCCCAAGCTGCTTGTGCAGAGCCAGGGGTTCACAGGAAACACCTGACTGGGATTCCTGGGGGAACCTCCAGGGGCACATGGCTCAGACACAGTGGGGAGAGGGTGCAGGGTCCCTGGGAGCCACCTAGGGACTGACAAGTATTCCAAGGACTTCATCACTGGGGAAGGAGATTTTAGTCTGATTTTTTAACAGGGTGTTGCCACAGCAGGGTCCTGCCAGACTTGCTCTGCTGAAGCTCTTCGCCAAGTTCCTATTTGCATAAAGTTTGAGATTAATGAATCCAGGGCTCAGGGGAGGGGGACAGCGGGTGGCTCCTGCACTCATCCCAACCCCAGAGTGTTTGGCAGCTCAGAGTGATGGGGCTGAGCACCCACGAGTGCAGGAAGAGCCCCCCGCTGCCAGCCCCCATCCAGCTGCAGGACAAGAGCTGGGAAGTCCCTGACCCTTCCCAATGTCCCATGTGGGCAGCTCATCAAGGGCTCAGAGCACAGGAAGAGGCCATGCCCAGAGGAGAGGGCTCAGCAGCCACATCTTCATCCCAGCCAGTCCAGGTCATCATCATCATCGTCACCGAAGAGCGGCGCGGGAGGGGGGCGCCCCTTCATGCTCTGCAAGCCACACCAGAGGGAAACTGGTCAGCCCCAGCAGCTTCCTGGCATTTCCTAATCACCACACTGCTCTGGAATCTCTGCCAGCTTTGAGGAGCTGGGAACAAGAAGCCTCATTACCCAAGTTTTTATTTCTCATGTGATGGTTTGCTGTTTAGATTAGGTTAAGATTAGATAGCAGGAAAAAATTCTTGATGGGAAGGAATGTAAAGCACTGGCACAGACTGCTCAGGGCAGTGTGGAGTCACCATCCCTGGCAGTGTTCAAAAAGTGGGTGGATGTGGTACTTGAGGACATGGTTCAATGGTGAATGATGCTACATGGATGGCTGGACTTGATGATCTTAAAGGTCTTTTGCAACCCTAAGGATTCTGTGGTTCTATGATTCCAGGAGCTGCTTATGGGCTAAAAGGGACTGGAAAGGGGCCAAACACTAAAACCCTTCAATTAACCTGGCAAGCCCCACTGATTTCATGGCAGCAGGAATCTATCACCACTCCCTCAGCCAAGCCAGCCCCTCCCAGCTCAGTCACCAACCCCAGACACTCCTGATTTACACAGGGAATGGATGGGGAGCCCTGAGCTCAGCCAGGCCCCCACTGCCACAGGGAGGATGTTACAGACAAGCTACAGACCGTGCCTCAATCAGAGCAAACACCCAAATACCAAACACCCAAATACATACCACCTCCTCCTCATCCTCCTCTTCTGAGGGAACTTGAGGCTTCAGTGGTTTAGGAGATGCTGTTTCAAAGAAGTTGTCATCCTCAAAGAGGCTGCAAGGAGATAAAGAATGAGCAGCTGGATCTCAGAGGATGGGATTTGCTTTTACAAGTTCTGTTACTGAGAGATGGCAAAGCCTCTTCACCAAGGGAAACCTTTGTGGCAAGTGCTGTTCAGCAGTGCAGGGCAATTCTGGGACCTGGCAGGATCACTGCACAGGAACTGCACACTCCCCTGGGAACGTTCTCCACTGCCTCCAGCAGACATGAGGCTGCTCTGGGGTTGCTCCCAGTGGAATGTGCCCTGGGCAGCCTGGTCTGTGCCAGCTCCTGGCTGGTGCCACCCAGTGCCAGCACCATGAAGGGGCTGCAGCCCCCAGCCTGTGCTGTCCTGCAGCAGGGACACACCTGGACCAGCTGCTGTCCCAGCCCCAGCTGACCCTGGCACCCAGCACCACGCCTCACCTGGAATCTGTGTGCCTGGGGCTGGAGCCCAGTTCCTGTGATCCTGGAGCTTCTCCCAGGACAGCTGAGCCTGGCTCTGCTCTGCTGGACGCTGAGGCAGGTTCCTGCTCAGAGCCAGCTTCATCCCACGGCTCTGTGCCACTCCCCTCCTCCCCATTTAAGGGAGGAGGCTCTAAACCTCCCCCAGCCTCCTCTGCCTTCTGCTCCACAGCTGGATGTGCTGGAGGTGCTGCCTCATCCCCATCTCCTGGCTTGGCTCCTGGAACAGAAGGCTCTGCAGCAGCTGCCTGCAAAGGCACTGCAGAGGGATCCTGTTCTGGGTCAGCCTTCCCAATGGGAACACTGTCCAGCCTCTGCTCCAGCCCAGGAACAGGCTGCCCTGCAAGCACAGGCTCCTTCTCAGCATCCAGGCTGGAATCAGCTGCGGGAGGGAGATGCTTCTCTTCTTCTGCCATCCTACTGCTCTGTGTCTCCTGCTCCTCCTCAGGAGCTGTGGGCCCAGCAGGGTGAGGAGCAGCCTGGCCTTGCTGCTCAGACTGCAGGGAGCCTCTGCTTGCTTCCCCAGGATCAGCTGGGAGTGCAGTGCTCTGTGCTGGGCTGTGCTGCAGGGGCTCTCTGTGCTCAGTCTTTGCTCCAGGTGATCCCTCCTGTCTCCCTGCTCCTGTGCCAGATTCCTCATTTTCACTGCCATGCTCTGGTTTCTCCTGCTGCCTGCTGAGCAGCTGCAGTGTCACAGTCTGGAAAGGGGAGCAGAGAGAACACAAGTTGCACCCTAAATACAAACCATCACAGGTCCCTGTAGCACCTCCTCCTACCAGACTGCTTTGCCACCCACAACAAATTCTCCTTCAGTTATTTCAGTCTCTCAGTACAGATTTGAGGTTTCAGCCCAAGGCTCTCTCTCTCTCCTCTCACCACTGCCATACCTTGATAGTGTTCATGACAACCCCCAGGACTGTCCTGCCACTGTACATCTCATCCAGCTCAAATTCACCCCGAAGAGACTGAAATACACCATTCATTATCTTCTTTACCTGCAAAACAGCATGACAGGAAACAGAGATACAATTCATCAGCATGTGAAGCACTGCACTCAACACCAGGCACTTCTCCAAGGGAAGGAACAATAAATCCAAACACACACAGGTGGTTTTTCAAATAATCTACTTTCCAAACCAGAAATCCCCACCAGATCAGGCCACCTTAACTCAGAACCACTCTATGTGACCCAAATTTATCCCCCCAAAACGAGGCAGGCTGCACAAAGCCAAGGCAGATTGGCACTTTTCTTTTTTTTAGTTTTTAAATCTAAACCTCAAACATAGAGTTTTAACAAGAAATAAAAGTCAGGCAACAAAGTGGGCAGCAGGAAGATGGAGTGAGGCTCTTTACAAGGGATGGAATGACAGGACACAGGGAATGGCTTCCCACTGCCAGAGGGCAGGGATGGATGGGATACTGGGCAGGAATTGTTCCTGTGAGGTTGGGCAGGCCCTGGCATAGGGTGCCCAGAGCAGCTGTGGCTGCCCCTGGATCCCTGGCAGTGCCCAAGGCCAGGCTGGACAGGGCTGGGAGCAGCCTGGGACAGTGGGAGGTGTCCCTGCCATGGGAGGGGATGGAATTGATGAGCATTAAGGTCTCTTCCAACCCAAACCATTCTGTGTGACCATGACTCTAGGATAAGATCCCATCCCTTCTTCCTCTGTGGACAGTTACTACAAGCACAGTTCTCTGTGGAGAAAATTATGTTTTTCCTTCTAGCGTCAGTTCAAAGAGAAATAATTCAAGGTAAATCCATTTGCTCAGGAAGGAGAAGTACTGGAGGGTCAAGCTCACTTGCTCAGTGTAGTCTGCAGGGGAAGATCCATCCTGATCCTTCTGCAGGTCTCGGATCCGTTCCTCGTAGCGAGCCCTCAGCACCCCCACGTCTGCCTGCAGGGCTGAGTACTGCCAAGGGAAAGCCACCCTCAGAGCTGCTCCTCACACCACAGCCCCACCTCGAGGGTGACCTGGCAAGGGTTTTAGTGAGGCACTGACTCTCAGTGGGGCTTTAAGCATGTCACAAAAGACTTGGCTGAAAGCAACAGCACCAAAATAAGGACAGCCAAGCCAGCCTTGGAGAGTCACAATTGTGTCATCAGCTCCTCAAGTGCCACCAAGAGTAGGTGGGTGCAGCAACACTGAGATCCCAGTGAGATGAAGGCTGGGTCTCATTATTGGACCTGTTCTGGTTTGCTGGAAACCACATGAAATTATCCCTTCCCCACCACATTCTGGAACTCCCATCCTTGTTATTCTGGACTAGCCTAGGTTGGTGTTCCCTGCACTCCAGTTCCCATCCAGTTGCTGTTATTCCTTTACCTTCTCTTGGATAGGCTCCAGCTCCTCCAAACGCTGCTGAGCCTCAGACAATTTTTGCTCCTCTGCTTTTTTCGAGTGTTTGAGAGCTGTGAGCTGAAACACAAGAAGCAGAGCAGGTACAGCCCCTGGCAGTGTCACCCACTCCAAACAGCCACTCAGGACAGTGCAGGTAAGTGCAAGTTGAAGCTGTTGCTGCACTTCAGCACTATCAGCACCTTGGCTCTCCCTCCTCCATAATAAACCCAACCCAACAGAACACCTGCAGATGGCCAAGATCAAGCTCCATAACAGGCAGGAAGTTAGAAAGTCAAGCCCCAGATAGGTGGGAGAAGACTGTTGGTTACAGCTGCTGGTGTTTAGAGCCCATTAGAGCAATGAAGAACAGCTCTTTACCTTCTCCTCCAGCTGGGCCACCTGGTGCTGCAGGGAGTCCCTCTGCTCACACAGCTCCTGGCACTGCCGGGCGTGCTGCTCCTTGGCTGAGGCCAGGGCACGCTCACACTTGGCTTCACACTGGGACTCCAGCTCTGCCTGGATCACTGACAGCTGCCCATGGCACAAGAGACACCATCAGGAACACACACACAGACCTGGGTTTGCACAGCAGGTGAAAGGCCAGGGCTGGACACCCACAGACAGAGTGCTGCCACCAGCTCCTACCCACACCTCTCACTTCAGCTCCAGCCACAAACCCCCAGGCTCGCCAGATGATCTGGCTCAGATTTCAGACTTTTTGGCATATTTCTGAACAACCTTTCACTCCTCCCAAGTCCCACATTCTTCTCTCTACTACACTCTCAATTTGGTGCCTTTCCTTTCCTCAGTTTGACACTAACCCATGAGTTCAAGCAGGTAATGCTTTCATTCTTCCCCTAGCTGAGTATTTTCACATTATTTCCTACCTGTAGGCTCCCACAAGCCCCCCAGACCTGGAGCAGCAGCTCCCCTGAGTCCCCACCTGCTCTGCTGCTGCCTGGTCAGTCGAGGTCCGGGCTTTTTTCAGGAGCTGCCGGAGCTTGTCCAGCTCCTGCTGGTACGACCTGCGAATTTCCTCCATCTCTTCCTCTGCCTGAGCTCTCTCTGACAGGGATTTCTTCTTCCTCTCTGCAAGATTCTGCAACACAGAACATGACACAGAATAGGCCAGGCTGCACCAAAGCAGCTTTTCTCCTTCAGGTAGGAGGAGGTTCTTCAGGCAGGGAACTCCATCACTTGAAATCAAGCTGAGGCTACCTCAGAGGTAAGGAAGGTTGATGCATTACTGGGTAAGACATTAAATAAATTAATTAAAAATAAATTTAAAATAAGAAAAATAATAATGAATAATTATAAACAAGAATAAATAAATGAACAATAATGAATAAACATAAGCACAAAGGATGCACCAGCCTGCAGATGAGTCGAGATTTACTAAACTTACATATTTAAAAGCAAGAAGCTTTGGTTTTTGGGTTAACCTTCAGTAAACCACTGAAACTGTGTTGCTGGCACTGGACATACCTTTTCTAGAGTCTCCTTTTCCACCCTCAGGTCTGTCAGCTCTTCCTCCAGTGCTGCAATCTTCATATCCAGCTGTTTGCGGCTCTGCTTCTCAGCCTTGAACCTGCTCTGAGTGTCCTGAGAGGCTTCCTGGAGCTCTGCAAACAAAGCCCCACATTTCCCTGTGAGTTTGGGTGCAACTCCCACTGCAGGGAGCACATTTTGGGGGCTGATGGGGAGGAATAGAGTCTCCTGCAAAGTGCAGTTAACAACTCCACTGGTGCCTGCAGTGGGAACTAGAATTTATCAAGAGCAGCCTGTTCCAATCCTTTGCAACCATTTCTGTGAAGACATTTTCCCCAATATCCAACCTAAATTCCCACTGGCCTAGCCTGAGCCATTCCCTCTCCTCCTGTCCCTGTTCCCTGGGAGCAGAGCCTGACCCCCCCGGCTGTCCCCTCCTGTCAGGAGTTGTGCAGAGCCACAAGGTCCCCCCTGAGCCTCTTTTTGTCCAGGCTGAGCCCCTGTCCAGCTCCCTCAGCCTCTCCTGGGGCTCCAGCCCCTCCATGTCCTTCCCATCATGTGGGGCCACAGCAGTGCCCAGCACAGAGGAATGAATGAACACCTCAGGTTCATCTCAACTTCCCATCCAGTGGAACATCTCTGGCTGCTCTACAAGATGTTGGACAGAAAAGCCAAGAGATTGTTCTACAAAAGGCATCCCTGTAACAGGATGATTTTGTTTGTTGAGTTATCCCACTTTGCCCTCAGTGGTGACAAGGATGCACATCCCTCAGATATTTCAGTGCACCCATATCCTTCCATCCCCTGTGACTGGATCCTAGGGAAAGCAGGAAGATACCCCAGAAGACAGGAAAAAACTACAACTTATCAGAGAAAAGAGCCATGAAGGAGCTCTCACCTGCCACCTGTGCCTGCAGCTTGTTGAGCTGTGCCTCCTGTCTCTCTGCATCCTGCACAGCACAGGAGAGCTGCTTCCTCAGATCCATCTCCTTCTTCTGGTGGGCAGTGAGCTCCAGCTGCAGCTGGGAAACCTGGGCTGTGGCAGCTGCCAGCTCCTCTGCAACTTTGGCCTGGAGCACAAAATGGAGCAGGGAAAAGGGGGGGAAGGGATGCATGAGGAAGCAGCAGAAGTGTTCTCTCAGGAAGAGCTGGAAAAGGGCTGGAGACCTTATCAGGGAAGACATCTCCAGAGTGAGGAGGCAACAGTGACTTTTTTGCCATGTCAGTTTTGTCCAGACTGACTAGAAAGCTGCACGAGGCCACAACAACCTCATCACCACATCAGTTCAACCCAGTGAGTTTTCCTGAAAAGGTTAAATACGTTTAATCCTGGTACCAGTGCCTGGTGACTCTGCTCAGTTTTCAGGCTATGAAAACATCTAATTGAGTAAAAAGCCTGGGCTCCAACATCTAATTGTCTTCCATAAGTTTACAAATCACTGAAGAGCCACTTAAACACAGGCTGGTCCCAGCCAGGAGAGCACCCTGTCCCCAGAGCACACAGCATGGGGTCACCTTGGCTGCCCATGGGCAAGGCTGGCCTTTCCTAGCACAGCTCTGGGGACCTGTTTAGATTTAGGATTGCTGAGAGTCAGTGATTCACCCAAAACCAGGCACTAGCACAGCTTGTTAGACAACTTGTAAGCCATGTTAGCAGGGGCTCAAGGCATCAAGACAGACACAAAGTCCCGTTCCCAATCTTGTTGAGTGACACACAAACTTCAGAGGATGCTCTGCAAAGACAGAATATGCACAGGGAATCCCTAAACAGCTTCCACACCTCTGCCTATTTTGAGATTCCCAACAGATTTTTCACACTCTTGAAACAGGTAAGGTCAGGAGAACTGGATTTTCTCTCTGCTTTATCTCCCTAACAGAATTCCCTCCACACGAGGACCAACACCTTCTGGCACAGAAGAGCTGTGAGCTAAATTGTTCCAACCATGGTGATGATGAGGATGTGCTGATCTGGAGGGCTGGGATACCACACCACTCATTTTAAAGAGGAGGCAGCATTTCAGAGAGTGGCCAAAACCAGATCTGCTTTCCTCCTGTGCTTCCATAAATGTCCCACTGCTACACTGACTCCTGGCATGCTAAAACCAAACCCCATGGCACAGCTAAAGACATCCAAAGGTTATTTTAAGCCTTGCCTCTGTCTTTAATGGCAAATGAAGAAAACAAAATTAGGAGATCCTGTGGCAGGAAACACAAGTCTCTACAGAGCATGCTTCATGTCCACAGCTCAGCTCCAGCCTCCAGGCACCAGGAATCCTGGGTGACCTGTACCTGCTCTGCCAGTGATCCTGTTCTCCCATGGGGAGTGGAACAAGCAGCAACGTGAGTTTTTGGAAAGGGCTCCCCAAGAGGGGGCCAGTGGGGAGACACTGCCAGCTCTAAAGCCCTTTTCCAGTGAGGGATCTGTGCTCATTCAAGCTCATTCTTTTCATGTCAATCAGTTTCTAGTTCAAGAGGAAGCTGGGCTGGCACTTCCTAGGGCACAACCATCTAGCACCTACACAGTCAGCAGACACTGCCTCACCTGGTCCCAGCCCCGATCCACTGGCAGCATGTGCTGGGAAGAGAAAGCAGCGACAGGAAACAGGAAGGGTTAAGAACATAACTTGAAAGGCAGAGGCATTCATCAGCAGAAAAGCAAAATGCTTCATAACAGGAGCCTAAGGCATGCCAGAGAAGCCTTCAAATTACTCCAAGGACTGTAAAAGCTTAAACAGAAAAAGGGAGTGAAGCCTGATGTAAAAAGAAAGACACTAAAGGTATCCTTAGGGTATGTCACACTCCAGAGCTGGGAGCAGTCCTGGCTATGACCTGCACTGGAGAGGTGGAGAATGACTTATGGTTCACAAGCCTTCACCTAAAGCTGTGACTTGCTCTGCCATGGTCAAAGATCCACAACCTAAAGCAGTGAGTAACTAACACCTCAGTGACCCTGGGTACAACCAAATAAATGGTGAGTAAATCTGTGTGTAAACAATGGATAAACAGCTTCCAATCAATCCTCTTCCCTGGGGATTCAGTAACTGCAGTCCCAGGGCAAGCTGGGTTAGACAAAGGAATACCAGCCTTCATATTTACAGTCAATACTCCCACAGAACCAGGGGAAATCTCCCAGTGCCAGGCAGGGCTTTCCTGGTCTGGCCTGAAGCCTGTTCATGTAACATCATCCCTGGGCAGTGATGCTCAGTCAGGGGGGTCCTGCTGAAGATGAGGCCCAAAAGACTCCTGAGGATCTTATACTGCCAAAAGATGACTCCTCCCCAAGTTGTATTGTACCAGCAGGATGCTGTCCTCACTGAGGAGGGAATTTAATTTATTATTTCAGTCTGACTTATTCCTGGTTAGAATCTCTCACACTCCTACACAGTGTGGGTGTGCAGCCTGGGCTGGGGTGGAAAAGCAGCCCCCTTCCCTGCCTGCTCTCAGCCCTTCCCTGCTCTGCTGTTTACCATGCTTTGGAAAGCTGCAGTTCTGGTCAGCTCTAGGTGCACCAAGCTGTGGCTCTCACCTCACATCTGAACTGGAGAGAGACAGCTCAGCAGGAGAGCACAGAGCAAAACTGGACTTGGTGCGATTTAAGAAGCCAGTGCTTGACAAAGCAGAGCAGGCACCATGCAATGGCAGAGCCAGAGCAGCACTCCTGGGCTAGGCTGGCCTACAGGGATGGTTCAGGGTATGCAGCCATGCATAAATTCATTTCACTGGTTTAAAAGCTATTTCCCAACAGTTCCTGTCATAAAAGCACAACGTATTACTGGGTGAAACAAACAGCTTCTGATTAGCATTAAAAAAAAGAAAAAAATCACAAAAGTGCAATGAAGAAACTCCAGTAGGAAATATATTTTTTCTTGTATCTATAATCACTCTATGTCAGTTATATAAAAGGAATAAAACTCTTCTGGAACTATCAGTGCAACTAAATAACTGAAGTATTTCCAACTCAAAAGCCCTGTGATACACAATTCCTCAACACATTGGCCACATGCCTACACAGTTAACAATAAAACAAGGTAACTGACTCTCCTACAAGGTAACAATATTAAAGTTATGACAGCATGAAATGGTTTTATCTCTGTGATGCTTTGGTTACAAAAGCCATCAAAACCAATTTTTTCTCAAAACAAACTTCAGAACTGCACTTGCCTTCTAAGAAAACTGCCTTGACTAACAAGGCTTCAGCTTGTTTTAATGCAACAACCCTAGCTTTGTTCATGCCACTGTTACCTTCTCCTGCTCGGCATGCAACACTCTTGCCTGCGTGTTCTCATTTGTTGTCTGCAGGGAGTGGTTCCTCTGCTCCATCAGCAGGTTACTCTGCTCCACATACCTGTGAACAGGGAGACTCCGTGGGCATTCCTGGAAACACAGGCCTTGGAGCCAAGGGCTCAGACAGAAAAGGTGATATTCCAAAGCACAGCAGCTCTCTGTTGAACTCATGACAAGTCCCAGACAATTTGACAGGACGTGCTGATCTCAGGGGTGGGAGGGCTGTGCCTGGCACAGCAGAGCTTTTATCAGCTGGGGTAAGTGCTTCAGCTCTCTGAAAATGTCTGGTGTTCCAAGAGTTTTGGTAACTTGGTAGCAGCTGAACTTCACAAAGGGCACCACATCCCCTACAATTTCTTCACCTCACTAAAAAGCCAGCAAAAATGAAGTAACCCCCAGAAACAGGGCAAGCATGCTCAAAGACAGCATGAGGGATTTTGTCCCCCTTTTACACATTCATGTTTACTGTAAACCAGAGTTTTGGGGATAAGCCCTGCAGAGAAGGGGTAGGAAGAATCCCACACTTTTAATACCTTAGAAAAAAAATTCAAAATATCAGAATATGGCTGTCTCCTAACAAACAGCCCTCAGATATGCCCAAGTGTAAGCTGGAGAGTCTGGAAATGCAATGAGGCTCCCACCCCTTACCTCTGGTTACGTTCAATCAACTCACTGATCTTCTCATTCTGCTCCTCAATCCGACTGCTCTTCTCAAATATCTCCTGCTTCAGTCTCTCATTCTCCTAAAGCACAGCTCAGCATGAATATTCAGCTTACTCAGATTTCCTTGCAGCAGCTCCTAAACCTTTGTTTTGCACAGAGGCAGGGCAGTGGTGAGGCTCATTCCCCCTTCTGTGGGAGCAGCCCAGGAAGGCACCTGCCACATTTAGCAGAATCCTGGCACAGGACAGTGGCTGCCAAATCACATTCTAGAAAATATTGTGTCTGGTTGACTTTTTTACCTACAAACCCCAAGTTTTTAAGGCTGCTGCTTAGAAAGGCTTCAAAGTATAAAATTAAATGGTGAATAGCAGAAGCAGGTTGTTTCTACAAAGTGGTACTTCAGCTGTGAAATTGCTCTGCTGGAGACTGGGGGTTAAATCCATAATGGCTTGGGAAGCTGAACTTCTCCCACATGAACCTTTAGTCAAAGCCCATTAAATACCCACAACTCTGACTCAGAAAATACCCAAACCCCAAAATGCTGAGAAGAGCTTTTTGGAGGGGGAAAGAGGGATGGAAATCATTCTAAGTCTCATCCTCATTCTGACCACACAAAACCAGAAGCCATGGGTGGCTGGACATTTGCTCTCATTAGGGATAATGAGAGCCCCAGCTCCTGATGGCAGTGAAAGCAGCTGGCCATGCTCACCTGGATGATGCGCTGGATGTTGCTCATGATCATGGAGGCTTCCATAGTGACAGAGGAGATGCCAGGCAGCAAGGAGCTGTTAGCAGTGCTTTGCTTCTTCAGTTCCTCCACCTGCAGGGAGAAACCATTCTTAAGCCATGTGAAATGAATTTATGGGTACAGGTGAGAGTCAGACACGTGCAAAGAGGCATTTCTCTGCTCCTTCTGCTCAGCTGCAGGGAACAGGCACTGAATCAAGTGTGACACCTCCCAGAGGGCAGGGAATCCTCCAAACAATGCATCACATGATATTCAAGACAGTAAGACAGCACCTTTCCCCAGGCCTAAGCTTTGTTTTTACACAGCAGCTGAACTGTTACCACTTGAAGGTGATATAATTGTGATAATATTGGAATTTTACTCATTTACTGTATCACTTAATGCAGGCATTTAAATAAGAGTCAACTGCTCTCAGCACACCTGGAGAGCAGAAATGTCCTGGGCAGCCAGGTGATCCATTTTACCCATACCTTGGCAGCCAGGTGATCCATTTTATCCACGACTTTGCTCACAGCCAGTCGTATTTCCGTGTTGTGCTGCCGAGCTTCTGTCATCAAAAAGGAAGTGACATCTCCAGGAGCTTGGAGGGAAAGGAGAGAGATTTATGTAAGGGGAAATACCTACACAGAGACACAGCAAAAGCTGGGTAGCATGAAGCCTGCCACAGCAAAGCCCAGAAGTGAAACGGACATGGTATTTGGAAAATGAATAATGTAGGTATTTCCCAAATAACCTCAACAGGAAAGTGAGTACAAGAAATTCTTGAGCCATGTGACAGCTCAGCTCAACAAGAGCAAAGCCCCCAGACACACCAGAGCAGCAGAGGTACAAACAAAGCAGAGGCACAGTCAAACCACAGCAGTGAAGGTCAGCTTCTGAAACTGCACTGCAAAAACAGGCTCCAAGAAAGGCTCAGCTACACTCAAGACTTCACCAACTGGGATGCCTTAATGGTTCTTTGAATGCCTTTGGTCCTTCCTGGGTTTTGCCTTTTACAGTTCAATTCTTTCCTTGGCTGGTATTTTTAATTATAATTGGAAGCACCAGCTACCAAATTCCTTTAGTAACACCCAGTCTTAGGAAGACACAGAAATTCCAGCCCCTTTCACACTGCACAAAGCTCTTTAAGGTAAGAGATGGGTATTTCTTGGTATCTATTTGGTATTGAAAAAAAAGCATTTGTGAAACAGCACAGTGGTACCACAGCCATAAATCATCATCCCCAACTGTTTACTGCAGGTGTTGCAGCCCTCTGAGAAGCAGGTACCTTTTAAAGCATACCTTGGTAAGGAGCAGGATACATCTGACCCACAGGCTGGAGTTGAGATGCAGATGCAGCAGTCTGGGGGTAAGCAAATGCCACTCCTGGATATGCCTTGCAGGACAAGTTCAATAGGTTAGAATGTGTTTTGCTGTTTCCCCATGTCCTCACAGTTTCATATTTTTTGAAGCCCAAGAGCAAGGATGATGTTTGGAAAGAAAAAAAATCCAAGAATTAAGGAGTTGGAAAGTCAAAATACAAACAGTCATTGTGAAAGGAAAATAATACTCTTCATTTGAGGATTAGTTAGTTCCCACCTTCACTCAAATTTCAGCAAAACTTTGTCATCCTACATTTGTGAGAGTCAGATCAGCATGTGAGCAGCTCCTGATGTTAATTTGAACACAAGGTTATTTCCTAAAAAGGGCTCAAAAAGCACAACACAACTTGATTGCAACTTTACTGCCCATTGCTGAGGAACTTGGAAGTTTTTGTTATATCCACTACAAAACCAGGTATTAAAGCCTGGTTCATGCTCAGTTTGAGAACCCATCATAAACAGAAAATTACCCCTTTTTGAATAAATTTTAAGAGGCATGTGATGAAAACCTGAGAAGGTCAAAGAGTCACAGGAAACAGACTGGAATTCTCACCCTTATTTTAAAGTCCTTGCTCCCAGCAATGGAGAAGACTCAGGAGAAAGGACAGAAGTGCCAATATTCTCCTTGATTTCATTTTGGTACCTGAAAACCCTGTGCTCCTCCAGGCAGAGCTGAATGGGGCTGGATCGTTGCAGGAATTAAAGCAGCAGAAGATACTGAAGGTGCAGCACCAGATGCCTGAGGTACTGAAAAGGAAGAAATAAAGTCAGCATACTATAAAGCAGCTCAAAAGAACTTAATTCACCTAGTGTGAAATGGCAAAAAAAACCCCACCAACAACCAAACCACTAAACAGACAAAAGTTTCACAAAAGCCTGTCTGCAACCTTGTGAAAATTAAATCCAGTCAAGCAAGCAATAATAGGTCAAGAAAAGAGTAACCTTTCAAGGAAAACCCACTTCTAGCTCCACTTAAACAAACTCTTTTCATTCAGAGACAGCTCTGAAGTTCACTGACACGAAGTGTGACTCAGACTGCCTCTGAAGGCTGCTCAGCTGACCAGCAGCTGGTGTGACCATTCCATCATGGGAAGGCACATCCAGCCCTGCAGAGCTGCCAGCCCATGCTGCCCTTCACTTGGATTTCCATCATTCCTAGAAGTACTGTTCACTCAGAAAGGACCTGTAACATTCCATTTATCCATCCCATGGCCTGCAAATCTCAGTGCCCAGTGACAGGACAGCTCAGGCATGGTGGCTGCTGTTCCTCAAGCACAAGACCACAATGAAGAAACACTCCAAGGATTGTCTTGTGCTCCCGTGGATTAGTGTCTCGTGGATCAGCAAGCCTTATCAGAAGCTTTCAGCTCACATTTCAGCTCGTGGAAGGAATCCTCTGTTCCCCCAGCCCTCCTGGAGTGGAAAGGGAGTGCAGCAGCTCCCCAGCACATTACCTTGTGTGGACACTGTGGGCAGCACTGCCTGAGCTGGCTGGGAGGGTCTGGTTGGAGCCACTGGCTGGGTTGTCCCTCTCAGAGTATTGGGATCCTAAAAACATTTCTGCATGTTACAAGAAACACCAAAGAACAAGGCAACAGCCTGAGCCCAAGGTCACTTGAGACAAGGTGTTACCCCAGGAACCCAAGTGGAACCTTTCTGTCATAGAACCAGAGCAGATTTCCATGGACAAGGGCAGAGTCACTGCTACAGATCCCACTTTAAGCAACCCCCAGTGTAGGAAAAGCAGTGAAAGAGTCACCCTGCTGTGACTGGTACCTCTATTTCTGAGTCACTGGAGTCCAGCTGGCTCCCTGCTGTCCCAGCAAGGAAAGGCAGCATGGGCTGTCCCATTTTGGCCATCCGAGAAATCAGCTTTGCCTTTGCTACATCTGGGTTCTAAAAGAAACATTTAGTTACTCTCCCTTTGTCTCAGCCCAGGCTTTTGGCGTATTACAAACACTTCTAAACCTCTGACTGAATTTTGACTCCATTTTTCAATGACAGTGTGAAAATCTACTCTTCAAGCACACAAGGTAGCACCAGGATTGTTCATCTGGCTTGTTTATATATCCTCTTTCTGGGATGACAGTTCTGTCACTACAGAGGAAAATCTATCCCTGCACAAAACACCAACAAGAAAATGTGTGAGTTCAGGAAGCTGCTTAGCAGCTTTTTCTGTCTGGAGGCACGAAGTCTTCTTATGCAGCTCCATAAACTTATCCTCAATGTCCCAATTCCTTTGTTACCTATTTTAAATTTGTCCATTTATCTCAAAAGACAACAAGTCTTGTGAACATCCACAGGGTCAAAGTCACCTTGCTTTTAAGAGTAGGGACTGGGTGGGGCTGGGGTTCCTCAGGTCCTGGTAACCACAGAATCATTAAGGTTGGAAAAGACCTTTAAGGTCATGGAGCCCAACCATTAATCATCAAGTCCAACCATTAATTCCTACACAAGCAAGGCCCAAAGCTGCTGTAAGACGAACATTCCAGGGTCTTGCATGATGCTCACTTTATCTTCAGCAGTACCCAGTGCTTTAAGTGCAAATAAACTTCTCTAGTCAGGCTTCAAGTTAGGAAAAGGCAGCACTTACTGCGAGCTGCTCACTGATGGAGTTGGACTTGGCCCGGACAGCTGGCTCCCTGCAAAGCCAAACAGGAGAGGAGATGAGCCAGGAGCAACTCAGGAGCCAAACTCTAGATTTATAAATACTGTAAAATACACCTCTCCCTAGGAAAGCTGTTTTCTCACATCATGAGCATTTCTTTTAGCCTACCCTTCTGGAACATTCTTTGCAGTGTTAGCTGTAGATATGCTCAGGACACTACTGTGGCCCATTGATTACAGAAAGATAATTTTGTTTGCTTTAATAACCAAGTTCTGGTATAAATAATTTTAATCAAGCCAAATAAACTACTTATGGCAACAAGAGCAGCACTTATTTGGACTCCCTAAAAAGGGTGACCCATTTAATTTAAGGAAGAGAACATAGAATTGTTGAGGTTGGAAAATACATCTAAGGTTGAATCACCAACCACTAACCCAGCCCCAGCACGTTCAGCACTAAACCCCATCCCCAAGTGCCACATTTGCATTCTCTGAACACCTCCAGGGATGGTAACTCCACCCTGGGCAGCCTGTGCCAATGCCTGACCATTCTATCAGTGGAGGTTTTCCTAACATGCAGCATACCTCTCCTGGAGTAACTTAAGAGGTGATTTCCTCTCCCCAGTCACTTACTACCTGGGAAAAGAAACCAACCCCACCTGGCTACACCCTCTTCAGGGAGTTGTGGAGACTGAGAAGGTCCACACTGATGCCAATGATGCCAGCTGAGATGAGACAGCTGTTAGAGCAGCACCCACACAGCTCAATCCCAGGAGCAACTGGATCTCAGGAATGCTGGAATGACTTCCTTCACTGGAGCCCATTCCAACTGCTTTAGTCTGGAAGTCAGCACTCAAGCAGAAAATTTCAGCAAGTCCTGTTAGCAAGCACTGCTTTGCCACATGGAGGGCACTGAGCTGGCACAGAGGCCCCACATTTGCCAAATGAGGTGTTAGTGCAGCACTGTGCTGGTGGGCATCACCAGCACTAACACAGAAAGCTGTTCAGGCCATGCTGCCTCTTACCCAGGCTTTGGAGGGATGGTGGAGGGAGGCACTAAACCCGAGTCTGAGGAGAAGCCATCTGAGCTGGGAACTGGAGAAGGTGCAGGGGAATCCCTTGAACTGACACTCAGCCCATCTGAACCAGAGCACTCCTTTGCCAGCTTCACCTTAAAAAGCATGAAGCAAAAAAAGAGATGTTTTTCTGAGTTCCTGTAAAAATTGTCATCAATTTATTTGTGATGCCACTGCCTGTGGAGATGCTGCACTTCAAGGAAAAGCAGCCAATTGATTCAGAGCTGGAGAAGCTGAGTCTTTACATCCTCTCATTCCTCCCATAGTGTTTTGTTTTCCCAAGTGACTCACAAATAAGACAGCTAAAAGATCCCAAGACAGTTACAACGGACAAACAGCCTTGAGGGATTTTCTGGGTTTAGGGCTCTGTTTTGGGTTTGTTTGTTTGAATTAAAGATACACATCTTGCTGAGGTTTCTAACAGTTTCTGAGCTGCAGTTCTCACACTAACAGCAGGTTCCCCCCTTGCAGTCACAAAGCAGATGGAAACCAAACATTTGGCAGGAGACACTCACCCGCCTGACCTCCACCTCAAACACCAGAGTGGAGTCTGGAGGGACACGAGCAGCCACGCCCTGAGCCCCGTAGGCCCAGGCTGGAGGAATGATGAGGAACCTTCGCCCTCCTTTCTTCATGCCCAGCATTCCTTCCTCCCAGCCCTTTGGTGTGCACAGGCAACAGAAGAGAAAGCAACAGTTGGATCAGAGACATTATTTACCCCAATTAAGACAACTTTAGGCAAAGGTTCCAAAACACATATAGAGAGATTCTTACAAAATCCTCTCTATTTTCAATGTGCAGCACTAAACCTTGGTCTTGCCACAAATCTTGACAGTCAGTTGTAAATCCCAATGTTAACTTAAGAATAAAGATGCAGCTCCACCACACAGTGGCAAACTCACTCAGCATTCTGGGGGAGAACTGGACCCCAAAGAGATCCGAATTGCTCTGGTTAGATTTACAAAGCAACCAAAGAATATAGTTGTAATGAGGGACATGAAGTCAGAGCAATGCAGACTGCCCAAGGGATGCCAGCACTGAACAAGATGGCTCTAACAGCCAGGCAAAATTAGTAAGATACAGGATAGAACAAAGTAGACAAATAGCACATCTTCAATAAAAGACAACTTGTAATAGGTCATATTTGAATTATACAGGTCATACATGAATTACTCAGGTCATGGAAGTAACCTGAACAAAAGCATCTCTGACTGATCAAACTCTGATTTTATGGGATAACATAAGGAAGTAACAAAATAACTGGATGAAAAATTGTTTCCTTTAAAAACAGGGCTCCCCAAGAACAAGGGAATGGATGAAGTGACTTCCAGAAAAATAAAGATAATAAATCCCCAGTTCCTGAAAACAGGAAATTTCCTTTTTTACCAAAGAGGACAACTCCTGCCTAACACTGATGTTGAAAAGGAGACTGGGCTCTATTGTGCAAAGCTTGAGTGAGTCACTGTCAGAGTGTTTGCTAATAAATGAAACAGAAATAGCAAGTATGAATCCTGAACAAGATGTGCTGTAATTCAAACCTCTGAGACTTCAATTATTGTAATGAAAGTGCCAGAAGTTGTACCTTGATGACCTTTCCAGACCCCAGCTTCAGCCGCAGCAGCTTGTCTTTGTTAACATTAGAGTCAAACACCTGGAGAGTTGAACAAGAACACAAAATACAGGGACTTCCCAACTGTTTCAAGATTCTGAACACTGCTTTATTCCATAAACTCCTAGAACCACTGGTTAAATGCTATTTCCCATTCCACTACTACCAAAATTAATTCTCAGCCATAAGACAGAGCTTTAGTCCATTTCCTGAAGTACAATTTCATGAAGTGAATGATAACTGGAGACTCAGACTTCAGACCTGCTTTAGGACAGGACTGGGTCAAGCAAAACAACATTTAATATTCATGTGTGAGAGTGCCCACAGAAGTTTAAAAGCATTTCAATCACCTCCCCTGGACAGTAACAGAATAATAGAATCATTAAGGTTGGAAAAGCCTTCTAAGATTGCCAAGTCCAACCATTCCCCCAGCACTGCCCTGCTGGTTTCATGAGACATGGTTTGGGGTTTCACCACCAAACCATGTCTCAAGCACCACATCCAGCTGGTTTTTGAACACTTCCAGGGATGTGACTCTTCCCTGCTGCCCCAGGCAGCCTGTGCCAATACTCAACCCTTTCCTTTCCTTGAGGAATTTTTTTTTGTAATATGCCAGAATCCCTTGATATTCTATAGGCAATACAGATGACCCCACTTACAGTGCCACAAATGCCCAAAGTACACTTTAACATCAACACCAGTACTATGCTGGATGAGCAGGTTCCTCTCAGGGACTGTCCCACTCAGCATTAGGAGGTGGCAGAGATGTCTTTACCTGTCCAAGCCCGTTGTTCTGGAACAGCCATCCTGTATAGGCAACCTCCAGGGAGTCTCCTCCTTCCACCCCCTGCCCTTCTCCCAGGAGGAGATCCTGGCAGAGGACCGAGTCCAGTGCTGGAGAGCTGTTGCATTTGGCAATGCACACCTGCAGAGGGAAAGCCTGGCAATGTCTCTGGCCTTTAATGGACAGGTCCCACTCATGAATCTGATGCATTCCTTGCTGTTCTGATCAAGCCCACTCTAGAAATGCACTCCCAGGGCATTCCACATCTCCTTGTGCTGAATGCTGCTGATTAAACACCCTCTGCTCTACAGAACCATTGATATGCACCACTTGGGAATCTTGAAAAGCAACAGGCTCCCTGCCTCAAAGAGATTTGTTTTAGTGAGGGCAGGCTCCTCTCAGATCCTCTCAGACGTGTGTCCATCACAGTTATGCACACACTCAAAACTGAACTCCAGTGAAAACAAAACTTGATTTGCCCCTGCTGTAAACCAGCCACCAGAAGTGCCTGGCCCAGAGGGGAGCAGTTACCTGCTTACTGAAATCCACTGCTGCCTTTTCTGACTCAAACATGATGGACCAGTTCTGCCTCTGATCATCATAGAACGTGCTGTAATTGTTGGGCTGAACCTGTGGGAGAGGAAATCACTTCTATCTTAGACATTAAATGAACTAAAAACCCACATCCAAAAGAAGCTTAAAGTAAGAGCTGCTGAGATCAAGCAGGAAGAACCCTGCCGTTCTACTGCCCAAGTTCAAAATTAGCCTTTATTTACCTGTTCATTATCATGGAAGAATTATTATAACTCAAATAGGTGAGCAAATATTAAGTTCTTCCTACATGCTGCAGTTCACACAGGAAGGTGAAACCTTTCAGAAACTTCCTTGAAGCCTAGTTCTTTAACATATACTGAGAATTTTAAAGTGAAAGTAATTTACATTCCACAGTTTATTGTAATTAGGCTTCCAGAATCAGTTGGAGAAATCACTTCTTCTCACTTCTAAACCCATGTCATCAGAAGTGACTATAAAACCCATCAATTTTTCAAGAATGTGCTTATAAAAAACTAGACAGCAAGGTCTAAACTGGGACAGAAATTTCATTGTTTTGGAGTGAAATTTCTCTCTCATACAAAGAAATTTGATGCCATCTGATGACAAGCTAAGAACAGTAAACCAACACATCAATTTTCTGTAAAACTGGCAGAAATCAACTTCCTGAGAGATTCCATTTTAGAGCTCACAATGCTCCAGATTGTTCTCAACAGCAGGAAAATGCTGAGTGTAAATTTTCTGAGAGAAAACATTTCCTTGCTGTCATTTCCTTCTGCTTACTCAGTTGTATTCCCTCAGACACCTAATTAGAAATTCTCAGCAAAAGGAATTTTGCTGTTTTTTTCCACTACAGGGCTGCAAACCCCGAACACCTCTGTGAGCACAGGTAATAATTTACCTCCTACAGGAGCCCTGGTTTGGAAATGTCCTGAGGTGCTCAGCCAAAGGGAGCTGTCACAGCCTCTTGTGCAATACACGAGGAGGACAGTCACACTGGGACACCTCCTGCTCTGTCACTCAGATGTTTGATCTCAAAGTTATAAACCAAGGCTTAAGGAAGAATTTTAGGGCCAACCTTGTGGTTTTTGCGATCAAAAAAGGCTTTTCCAAGGCAGAGTCTCACCGTGAGCACAAAGCCTGGGTGGATCCTTGCAGAGGTGATCTGTTGCTGCTGGCTGATGTAAAGGAGGATCCTGTACTGGATTCCACAAGGAATTAGGCAAGGAAAAAGAACAAAAACAGGAACTCAAAACGTCTTCATTTCTAAGGTGCTTTGTCACATGCAGAGCCTAAGGCTCAATATTTATTTGTCAAATATACCACAGCAAAAATACTTAACAGTTTTGTGACACTTCTTAAAACTGGTTTATTCTCAAGGGTTTTATTTAGCTGCAGCAACCAAGCAAGAGAAACTCATTGTTTTATAGTAAACAATATGCTTTAATTAATTCCACATTTTTCACAGTTACAGTGGAAAAAGATGGTGCACTAACCCTTCCAGATACAGAACTCAGCACACATGGCATTAAACCATCAGAGAGTCATTTAAGTTGGAAGAGACTGAATGATCCAAGATCACTCCCCCAGCACTACCAAGGTCACCACTGACCCATGTCCCCAGGTGCCACATCCACATGGCTTTTAAACCCCTCCAGGGATGGGGACTCCACCACTGCCCTGGGCAGCCTGTGCCAGGCCCTGATCACCCTTTTGGGAAAGACATTTTCCCTGAAGAGGTTTGTGTGTGAAATCTTTGCATCAACCTATTGACACAACACACCGAGTTGGAGGGAGTTTTCCAAGTACTAAACAACACAGATATGAGATTTATTGACATATTTGGCTCTACTAAACATAGTCTATTATGGAGATGTGTTTTCCTTTGTGCACCTGCAGTGGGCACAGCTCAGTGGTGAACTGGGAGTGAGCCAGTGACTGCTCCCAGCTGGATGTGCTATCACACAGGCAGCCTGAGGAAAGCTGGTTCAGCTTCCTCCTGCACTACCTGTCCTCCCCAGCTCCTCCAGAACAACACAGCTCAACATCTCCCAGATCACTGACTCAGGAATTTAGTTACCAAACTAAGATTTATTTTGTTCTTGCCAAGGCAGAAGCAACTTAGTGAGACATGAATGAAAACTTGGGGAATATGAAACATCACAAATACCAATACCAGGGAGGGGTGAGAGTTTTCAAAGTAGCCTTCAAACACACCAATTTACTGGGCACCTCAGTTCTGTGCTCTTCAAGGAACACTTGGGAAGGAAAGATGTTTCTGATACCAAAAGAACAAAACTTAAGCAAACCATCTCTGTACTGCTGGACAGAATTTTCCTTTATATCCATTTCCACATGCACAAATATGTGATCCAGTTGTCAAAGACATTCTGAATAAATACCAAAATGACTTCCAGGAACACTGCAAACTATTTCAGGCACAAGTTGTAAGAGATGTTACAAACTCACAGACTGCGGGAAAGAAAGATGTCACCAAGGTGGATGGCTGAGCCCCAGAAAACCCAGGAGGCAGAAAGGCAGCAGGAGAACAACATCAAAAGCAAAATACCTGGAGAGCTCACAAAAACACCATCTCATAGCAGTGAGCCCTCAGCATGGCAGATTTAGGGAAGGAAGTGCCTCTCACCTCTTTGGTGGCGTGGTTCCCCACTACAGCTGCTCCATACTTGCCCTGCTTCAAGTACTGCCCATTTGTACTGGAAGATAAAGGAGACATTCAGCTGCACAACTACCCCTAACTCAATTCTTGAGAGTTCAGATCCCTTTTCCCAGGTATAAAATGTCAGGCAGCCTTGCTTAGCTTAGGGACATTCCTACTTGCCCACAGGTAAGAGCACACATTATGGAGTGAGTTGAAAGCTGCTCTCACAGATCCAGCGCAGAAACATTTCTCCATGATGGGAGCATCAAACAGTTTTAGTGCTGTCACTCTGCTCATGTCTCAATTCTCAAGTGCACAAACCACAAGCATCTGAGAGAGCCTCCTGAAGCAGTGCACATCTGAGCCCAGCAGCCAGGACACAGCTCCCAGCCACAGCCAAACCCACAGCTTGCTCTTTATCTCACAGCTGCTTCACCCAGAGCTGCAGTGCAGCAACTGAAACTGTTCTTGAGCAGAAACTTCCACTGCCTTGCACATTCCCCCCATGCAGATACGTCTGAAAATGAGTCTCTCTTCCCATTTATCAGGAATACCTCCCCCCGGGATTAGGGACACAGGCTGCAGCAGGAGTCACTTACTATCGATAGGCGAGCACGGCCGTGGCCACCAGCACCGAGGGGACTCCTGAGGCCACCGGGGCCTTCTGGGGCTGCCCTGTGGGGACAGAGACCAGGGACAGCTCTCAGAGGCACAGGACTGGCTGGGGACACCACCACGACATGCTCCTTCCCGCAGGGAGAAATAACTCCAGTGGGAAATCACAAAGAAGCAAAGACCAGATTTCCAAAGTCACCCAAGGCCAGCTGAAAATCCAGGTGTAGGAGGGCACTGGAGGAAAACAGCCCTGAGGAAAGCTCAGGGAATTATTTGCTCTGCTGCTCTTCACAAGGGCCCTTGTTCCCCCCACACACGTGCTGCTGAGTGTGTTCCCCATGCTCAAGCCCAGTTACTCACCAGCTGCTGTCTGACCCTTCTTGGGCTGCTTTGGTGCCGTGAACTGGAAGAATTCATTTCCCTGGCTTGAGACTGTTTGATCCAGGCCAAAGAGAGAGGCTAATCTGGCTCTAGAAAGGGAAATAAAACCATTTAACCTTATTTAACATGGGCATTATACATAATGAGCACCCTTAACTAGAATTTGTATGAAATACAGTGTTTACCATCAGTTTGGAAGTAAACAAAGGGCTGCAGGTTAAGTTGCTTTATGCTAACTAACCATTTAATTTTGAATAGGCAGAACTTGTAGATGAAGAAGTTGGGAAAGTGGTACAATTGTGTTTCATTTCCTCAAAAATCGACTGAAGGTGTAAGAACTGAAACTACACAAAAAAAGAAGTTACTTTGAAGCAATGACTAGAACTAGCTTGACATAAAATAGCTGATTCTTACAATACCCAAAATTATATGGGACAAAGAAACCGCCATTCAGCTCCTGGAGTATTTAGTCTTTAAATGTCCATGAAACACATTCTCCCATTAAGTTTTAAAACGGCAGAAGCTCTGCCAGCTAAGGGCAGAGGGTTTAACGCTGGAGGTTATTCCTTCAGGATACATTGTTTGCAACTTCACTGCTTCAAGGCCAGTTCCGCTCAACCTATTCCTGATATCGCGGGGCAAGGGAATAATTCAAACAAAGGATGACACCACTGCCAGTGAACCTCCTTTAAAAAATCACTAAATTTTCTATAAAGAGAGAGGATTAGTTTATAAGAGAAGCTCCTGGAAGGGGGCGGGAAGTGGAAGTGCAGCTCTGGAAGCGGCACCGCGCCAGCGATACAAAAGCCTGGACGCGCAGCACAGGGATCCGAGGGGATCCCGGGGGGCAGCCTGGGAGGAGCCAGCGCCGGGGGAACGGCCCAAGCGGCCCTGGAGGACTTCCCACCGCTCCTTACTCAAGTGGAAACACCGAGTTCTCTGCCCTGGCGACCCCGGAGCGGCTCCGCCTCCCCCAGCGGGAGGGGTCCCCGAGCACAGCGGGCTCTCAAACCCCAGAGCCCTGCCCCGGGCACCGCTCCGAGCCCCGCCGGCAGCCGGACCCTTCCGGGGCTGCCCGTACGGCGCTGCCGCAGCGGCACGGCAGCGGAGCACAGCCCCGGCGCCACCCCCGCTCACAGCCCCGGCCGCGGGCCCGGCCTGCCTGCCCGCCCCTCACCGCCGCGGGGCCTTCACCGGGACCGGGGCCACGGCCCCGCGGCCTGCCCGGGCCGCCGCGCCCACCCGGCGGCAGGGAGGGGGTTCCGCCGCGCCCCCGGCGCTCACCCGCTGGCCGGGGACAGGAAATCGGCGTCGTCCTCCTCCGCCGCCGCGAACATGGCCAGCGACCGCCGGGGCGGGGACGGGCGGGCGGCAGCGGCGCTTTACGGCCGGCGGCACCGGCACGGTCGGGGGCGGGGCTTCAGCGCAACGTCACAGGGGGCGTGGCCTCAGTGGCACAGCGGAGGCTGTGCGGGAGGCGTGGCTTAACTGCACAGAGGGGAGGGGCTTGCGGGAACGTCATTGGAGGAACCATCATGGACACGTCAGAGGGGGGCGGCTCGTGGCGCTCGCGCGGTGAGTGACGGGCGGGCTCGTGGGGGAGGTCTCGTGCCCCCCGCGCCCCCCCCATCCCGCCTGAGGGGCCCCATGGCCGCCCCCCCTCCCCTCAGGCCGGGACGCGGGACCTCGGGCCGGGCCGCCGGGGGCCCGAGGGGATGGGCAGCCCTGGGACGTGAGGGTGGAGGTGCGGGGCCAGCTCGGTGTGGGTGCAGGCAGCGCTCCCTGGCTCCGGGGGAGGCGCCCAGCTCGGCCCTTCGGTACTAAGGTGACAGGCGGCCCCGGGCTGCCCTTGCCGTGAGGGAGCCGTGACCCGCCGGGGCTCCGGGCTGAGCCACAGGGCCCGCATGGCTGCGCTGGCGGCCCTGTGGGTCCGTGGGGCTCGGGCGGGAGGGCTGGGGACACCCGGGCGCTGCTGTCGCTGTCGCTGGGATACCCAAGGGCACCAGCCATGCGCTGTGTTCTTAACATCCGAGCAGTTCCTTGGGTCTGAGCAGCCCCTCTGAAGCAGCTTCCCACGTTCACCTCGTACCTTGAGAAATACACCTTTTCGCTGGTTTGTTTAATGAGGTTTTTGTAGTGTGTTGTGGTTTTCCTGTGTTCTCCTCCTCTTGGAGAGCTGGTATCTCTGTGTGCTTTGTGAGACCGGCTGGCTTTAATTTCACCTTAGATCCAAATGATGTCGAAATGCAGAAGAACAATGTGCAGGAGGTCAGAATGGCAATAAGGGTTGATATTTCCTGGCTTTGGGTATTTGCTGGCACTGGTTGGAAGTTTGTACTGTCAGTTACTGACTGGATGTTTGAGTCTGAGCAGGAAGCTGCCAGGTTTGTTGTGGAGCTGAGTTTGCAGTAATTCAGGAGTTTATTGCAATAATGGAGATATCAGTGACTCCACTTCTAAAGGGAGAAGAAGATAAAGGGGTGTGTTAAGCAGCTTTTATATTGCAGAATGTGTGATGAATTTAGAATGAAACCTGGAAAGGTTCAGAATATTATTTCTGTTAAAAAAAAATGAAAAACCAAACCCACAATAATCTGGTGTAAATTCCCAATGGGAGGAGATTGTTCCGACCTTGGTAAGGCAGATGGGCATGAACTTCCTTCCAATGGGAAATGTGCTCCCTTGGATGAAGAGAGTTTGTTGCTTTGGCTCCTGTATTTCTTCTATCTGGTTGGTTGTTAATGTAGTTTTGTTTTTTAAGTGGTGAAGACCCATGTGGCTAAGTCCTGGTGTGGCACTTCAATTTAGGTTTTTTAGGTGCAGGAATCACAGAATATCCTGAGCTGGAAGGGACCCACCAGGATCACCCAGCCCAGCCCCTGTCCCTGCCCAGACCCCCCACCAAGCCCACCCTGGGCATCCCTGGCAGCGCTGTCCAAAGGCTCCTGGAGCTCTGGCAGCCTCGGGGCCGTGCCCATTCCCTGGGGAGCCTGGGCAGTGCCAGCACCCTCTGGGGGAAGAACCTTGCCCTGAGCTCCAGCCTGAGCTGCCCTGGGTTAACCTGAGGCAATTCCCTCATTACAGAGCAGAGCTTGGAGCTGCCCCTCGGGAGGAGCTGCAAAGCCTGGTGAGTTCTGACCTCAGTTTCCCCTTCAGGATGAACAATCCCAGTGCCCTCAGCTGCTCCTTGTGCAGCCCTTTCAGACCCTTCAGTCTTCCTAGCCCAGTGTATACCTGTGTATATTTCCTATTTTTTTTTTTTTTGCTGGGATTCAGCACTGGCCAGTTTTAATGCCATTGTGGGGAAGAGGCTGTAGCAGCACAACCTGCAACACTCAGCAAGCATCACATCTTAGCCACTTGTCCTTTTTTCATTTAAACTATATTCATAGTCCTCATCTGTAGTTGAGTGTGCAGTGGGCTTGTGGTTCCACACAGTTCCCAGGCAGAGGCCAATTCTTCCTGTTTGTGCTTGAATTCCGAGCTCCAGAATGCTTACTAGTCCTGCTTTTTGTACCCAGGTGGATGAAACGCTCCTCACAAGTGTTCATTAAGTTGATTTTCAGTCTGTTTGATCTTAACTTGCCTCTGCTTGAGCCTGAGGTCAGTAAAGCTTTTGCAGGATTTTTCATGAGTACCAATATGGGATCTTATGGGGTAAGTTAGTGTTCAAGTTAATAATCCCAAATCCTGTCATTTATGGTGTAATGTTTCCTGAGGCTTTCATCAGGCTTTGGACTCTGCATTATTTTTTCCCATCCTTCATTAAAAAGGGGGCATTGGGAATAATGTGTGAATGTTGCTGTTTAAATGAAGATTGGTTTTGTAACTAAGGATTTGTTGGTGAAGCTGTACTGCTCTGCTTTACAAAAAAAAAAAAAAAATTGAAGTGATGCTTTTTGCTACAAACACAAAAATGGTTGCAATAAGCAGGATTTTGCTTCTTTTGTTCTCCTCCCCCCAAAAAAACAAGAAATATATAAGAACTGGCAGGAGTTGCAGACTCCCACACAACTTTGTGTTGAGAACAGAGGAATTTTGTACAACCACTTCCTACTGAGATGTGGCTGCTTTTCATTTCCTATCAGATTTCTCATCTAGGCCAGGTTGTTAACTAAGCTGAGAATTAGGATAATTTCTGCCCGTAGAGAGGAGGAATTAAATCACCTTTCCAAACACTTTTGCATGTTTGCTTTTTTATTTTAAAGCTATCATCCCTGCCACTGACTCTGACTTGCAGTGGTACAAGGACAAGGTTTGTGGGGTTTTCTTTTGGTTTTTTTTTTTTTTTTTTTTTGTTGTTTTGTTTTGTTTTGTTTTGGAAAGAGGTTTGGGGGGATTTTTCTCTTCACTTTTCCCTTCACAATGTAACTTCAAAGTTTGGACCAGTGAGACCCTGTATCCCCTGAACAAGATGTTAATGCCTAAGAAGGGAGGGCATTGAGAATAATCTTTGCCAGTTTTACATTACAAGTAAATGACAAAATCTACCATGTTCACAGGGTGAGTTTTGAGCAGAGCCCTGAGGAGTTTCCTTTCAGCTGGCTTGTTTTCCAGTCAGACGTTAGGTCCAAGAGAAGACAGAACTTTTTGTTCTATGAGCTAAAATTAACTGTTTTCTCCTTTCCTTTGTGGTTTCTCTATTTGCTGTGAAGACCCCTCTACCCAACAGAAAGCTGCCACGACTCTCATGGCAGAGCTGCCTTCCCTACTCTGGCCTGAAGGTCACCTGAAAGTTAGCAGGAGCCTGCAGCAGAATTTTGGGAAGTTGAGCTGAAGCACATTGCCAGCATGAACTTCTCCACAAGTCTGCCAGGAAACCACTGGGAGTCTTGGCAATTTTTTCTTAGGGAAGGATGCAAAAGACTCAATCTAGTTTATCTTGTTTTTCTCTGAGAAATCCAATCTTAGTTAATCTACTCCATTGCCTTTTGTTTCAATCTAATTTTCTGGAAGTGTTCCCAATCAGGTCCTGGAGAACACTGCCAGTGGTTTTTTCATTAACATTTTCCAACTGAAAGCTGGAATCTGCTAATGCAGAGAATAATGGAACTAGTTATTGTAAACAAATTAAACTCCTATTTTGCTGTACTTTCTAAAGCTTTTCATTTGTTGGTCCTGGAATTAGGTTTTCCTGGTTTAGAAGCCAATCTAGAAGTGTGAGGTTGTGATGAAATGGCTCCTTTTTAGTTTTCCTTTTTTATTTCTGCAGTTTTTAATGTAATTTCCCATTGTCTTTTCTTCCCTGTGCTACCAGTTCATATCTACAAGGGTCTCCAGCTGATTTCCAATGGCACTTCAGCAACTGTGACTGCAGCCAGAGCAATGGCTTTGCTTCCTGCTCTCATCCTCTCTGTGGATATAATCTTAGAAAAATCTCACATTTGCTGTATCACAGATGTAAACAGCATTTATCATCTGCTAAAAAAGTTGTACAAGCATGTAATCTTTTCACTTTATCCAAGTGACTAGAGCAGTCCATGGTAGCTCTAGAGCACAGGCCAAATGCTCTAAGTGGTTGAGGCTCTTCTGTTGTCACTGCTTGCTTAGCATGTCCTGTTATGAATCCTGGGAGGCTGAGAGAAAGCTGGGAACAGAGTGGAGGTGTTCTGGCATGGAGCTCACACTGAGTGCCCCGAGCTCTCCTGAGACTGTGGAAGAGCCACTTCACTTCCATAAACCTTCTTTTCCCACACTTACTCATTAGTTATCGCAGATTCGGATCTCATTGCTCTGATGAAGGTGCAGGAGCTTGGAATATGAGCTTTGTGATATATTTACCTGATCTTCTGGCTAACCAGGATAAGGGGAAACCTGGCAGTCTTGGCTGGTTTTTTTGCCTAAGCACTGCATCTGTTGGGGGAAGGAGTGCCTGGCAAATGCACTTTCAGACTTGTTTCACATTAGAGAGAATGTAATTGGACTTGGCTCTGTAGGATTAAGAAGTGCTTTGAGGCCACCTGTGAGGTGCTGTGCTCATCTTGAGCTAATGGTGTGAGCAGACTGGCTGGCCTGCTCCAGAGAGCTGGGAAAAGCAGCTCTTGGAAAGGGATACAGCTCCAGCCTCCTCAGGGAGAGGCTCATCCCTGTGACCCAGCCTGCTCCTTGTTTGATGTCTCTAATTGGTGGCTGCACTGTGGCTGGGACAATGGCAGCAGCTCGTGCCACCCTGGCTGGGCTCTGCTGGAGGCTGGACTGGGAGCCAGGGATCCCATCACTCTCTTGCTTCCCTGTTAACCTTCCCTGTTAACCTTCCCTGTTCCAAAAGGTCTTCTACTAAAGAGGCTCAAACAGCTCACTGGCACAGCTGCACTGCATTTTCAAGCTTGCATCTTTTACTTGGGAAGAAGAAACACTAACAAATGTGGAGCAGACTCAAAGCCAGTGCTCCCAGTGGAGCCATCCCAGTTCA